AAGACAGATAGCAGCTCCCCACTCTTAGTCCAATGCTTTAACTACTATTCTACAGTGGCCCTGCTATTTTCTCATTTTCAAATAATCTAGAAAAGTACCTAAGATAATGATGTATACAAAGTACTATATCTTTTATTGTATATCTAAATACATAATTACTGAAATGTTTTGTTATGTCAGGTTATCAATTAAGATGCTCTATAAACATTTTCAGAAGTCATATATGTAGCTCTGAAAAAAGTTGTTTTAATGCTACATTTCCAAAACAAAAGCAGATATTAATTAATTAATGAATTAAGTAGCACCAGCTGCCTGCAATTACTGCGAGTTCAAATCTCACCAGGCTCAAGGTTGACTCAGCCTTCCATTCTTCCGAGGTAGGTAAAATGAGGACCCGGATTGTGGGGGCAATAAGCTGACTTTGTATAAAAAAGAACACCGCTTGTGGGGGGGGGGCGAAAGCCCTACTAAGCAGGTATATACAAAGGTATGAAGGCTATTGCTTAACGCATTGTAAGCCGCCCTGAGTCTCCGGAGAAGGGCGGCATATAAATCGAACCAATAAATAAATAAATAAATTTGCATTAATACATTGTTCCGTTATCTCCAGTATATCTGCCACTATTTAAGTTTCAGTAAAGTAGGAGTAATTTAGTTCAGTTGACAACTTTTGAACCCTGAGGCAAAATTTAAAAAAGAACGCAATAGCATTTAAGCTTAAAATTGCTAAGCATTCTTAATTCTTAGCCACGCGGTGCTTCACTAAAGCAAAACAAAGGGGTCGATTCACCGACGACAAAAACAGTAGTGCACAAACTAATAGGGATTAGCTTTAGGATTAAACTCTCAACAACTAGGGGGAAGTCACGGCCGTGGTTCAGGAAGACTCCACAGCAAGCGCACCAAGTTTTCGCGAGCATGACAGTTGGGAGGGCACAGAAGGCGACTGGGGGGAAAAAGTCGAAAAAATGGTTAGGGAGGAAAGTCGAAAGACCTGAGAAAGGAGGGTCGCCGGTCACTCAGGCGTCCGAATTACCTCATTATCCCACGAGCCGGTGGCGAAAATCTCGGGAGGCTGCAAGGCAGTGGCCGATACGGGCCGCCAGCGGGTCTTACTGATTTTCTGGGATACATACTTGCCCACTACGTCCTCCATATTCGGGGAGAGACACTCGCTCCCGCGCAGCAAGATCACGCCGCAGGCTTTCAAACCCGGACTCTCGATTGGCTCGCAAACGTCACGGGAGACGGCTTCCGAAGGAGGACAAAAACCGCTGTACCTGCGCCTAAAGAACAGCCATCTCTGGAGGAATGAGAATTCCGATGGTGTCGCGAATAGGATGCGTCTTCCCTTGACGATCTAGGCTTCTGCTTTCCGAAAGTATCGAATTGAGAGATTCAATATTTGTCTCAACGCGATTGGTATGAGTGACATTCTGCACTATAGCTCACAACGTCGCTTTGCACGAGCAAATTGAAAAGATAAATGGAAAAACCGACGTCATTAAACTATAAATCCTGAACTAATGTATTAAGGAGTATGCCTTACTGAATTGCACATGGTTTTACATCTATATACAATATGCACAGCTCTGCATTGCATGATTGGAGCCTACAGTAAATACATTCAGGAGTAGTATCCATGCAATGCATTTTCCAACCTGGCAGAATGGAGACTACAGCGCCCAGAATTCCTAAACAACAGATTTAAATGCCTGGATGAGAATTTGGGGAATTGAAGTCTCAATAGAGTGGTGCAGATCTTAAGCGAATCGGCTTGAAGGAGGCTAGAAGACCACAGGAGCCTCACTGAATTTAATAATACTTGTTGCTGAATCAAGCAGACATGTTTCTGCTGATTAAACTATTTCAGTGTTTTGTTTTCCCTTTTAAAAGATATAATCTTCCTTGAGTCTAGTTCAGTTCCTGGAGAAATAATGAACATAATTCAAAAACTCTATCACGTTATTTTTGAAACTCTTCTGTTTTTCCCATTTAGCTTTGTAGGGATGTACAGCTGGCTGTCTTTTGCCTGATCTCAAAAAGATGAGCAGGGTTGAACCTGGCTAATAACTGGAGAGGAACCCACTGGGGAATCTCAGTACTGTATATTTAATAGGAAAATGTTAAAAATTCTCCAAAAGCAACAATGACGATTTCCATACTACTGCTAAGAAAATTACAATGACACATCAATGAAATTATAGGAGCTGAGTTTAACTAAAGAGAAACTTCCAAAGGCAGACAGTTACCTGTATATTACAATTGCACAATTCTGAAAGAAGCTTGTTATATATGAAATTTAATGCTACAGCAGCATGAGGTAACACTGAAGACAAATGCAGGTAGTCCTCAACGTATGACCACAATTGAGCCACAAATGTTGCTATGTAAGAAATTTGTTAAGTAAGTTTTGCCCAGTGGTGGGATTCAGCCAGTTCGCACCCCTTGGGGAGAACCGGTTGTTAACTTTCTGAGCAGTTTGGTGAACTGGTTGTTGGAAGAAATCATTAGGGCAAAGAACCGGTTGTTAAATTAGTTGAATCCCACCACTGGTTTTGCCCCATTTTACAATTTTTCTTGCCACATTTGTTAAGTGAATCACTGCAGTTGTTAAATTAGTAACATGGTTGTTAAGTGAATCTGCTTTCCCCATTGACTTTGCTTGTCAGAAGGCCGCAAAAGGGGATCACATGACTCCAGGACACTGCAACCGTCATAAATGTGTGTCAGTTGCCAAGCATCCAAATGTAAATCATATGACCATGGGGATGCTGCAATGGTCATAAGTGTGAAAAACAGTCAAAAGTCCTTTTTTGGTGCCATTGTAACTTTGAACTGTCACTAAATGAACTGTTGTCAGTTGAGGACTACCTGTATTACATTTAATTTAAAAAATTGCCAATAATTTGTATCCTTGAATAAGATTGCATTTAATTCATATAATTAGGTTTTATGACTATTTATATAGACATAAATCTTACTAATTATTATGCTTATAACCCAAGGCAGAAGAACTTGTACTGTACTCCCTTTCACAGCAACATTCCCTTGGAACTAGATTGAGACTTAATGACTGGCATCTGGAGTGGGTTGGTAGTTAAATGACATTACATTTTATTTCTTCATATTGCCTGAGTGACAGTGGCTTTCCAATGTCTCAGGTTGTACTTACTCAGCTCATTGAACCAGAGACACCAATATTAAATCTGGAAACTTCAGAATATCAAGCATATATCAATGACTGCTTTAAAATATTTTTATTCAAAAATTAAGTTTATAAAATTGCTCTACAATGCATTTTGTAAAATTCTAATCACTACAGAATTAAACAAGCTTTCGGTGAATGATTCTGTGGAGCTTCACTATCATGGCAAACAGGTCTACTGGTTAACTAAATCAATTTTGCTAATTGGTGCCATTTTCAAGAAAATATACACAGGATTGAAATATTAGAGAATTTTTTTATTAGAACTCCAATAGGAACAATAATACTGCATAATGTGTTTATTTTTGTTTATTTAAAGTGACAAGTAATATGAAATTAATTTCATCAGACAATACATATTTAATTTCCATGGCATGGCAAACATTAATACTAGATTTGTTACTTGTATCTCATTAGAATATAATATACATACTGTGGTGGAGGGACTTACATAGAAATTTTAAATATTTACTAATGAAAGACATAAGACTATTTTGAAGTATTTAAAAGCAAGTCATCCTCCAAAATTAATGATATAGCCCTCCTAACAAGACCCTTTTAAAAAACATATGAGTATTTGGATAACACAGAAAAATGTACAAAATGTTTGAAAATCACAAAATGACATAATAAAGCAGTTTGTCATTGTCAGTAAGAATATTTTGTCACTGTGAACACAACTGTACTGCTGATATTGAAGAATACTGTGTCTCACATATTCCTGTGAAATACCAGCATTGACAGCATCTCCCGTTAAGTGATTTAATTGCCCTGAATCAGTTCAGCAGCTTGATGATGTTATTGCATCATTCACTTCATTTCTGATCATACAAATCAGCTCTTTCTGGTTCACCATATTTATATTTTTGGCCCAGCAGTAATTATACTTATGGCAATATAATCGCCACCATAAAGAAGCTGCTTTCAGCAGTGAATTTCAATTGAAGGGACTTCTTCAGCACTGACAAATTCAGTCATGGCACATTGCTTAAAGCGTGCTTGAGTACCTGTCACAGCCTTCCATTTCACAAACAATAGCAACCCAACATTTTTTCAAAACTATTTCCCAACAACCAAAATAAAATAATATTTCAGCATTTCTAACATGTCATTACTACCTTTCATGGCAATTGACAACATCGGAGTCATTATTTTTCACTCAATCTTTATATTATGTAAGTGGAGATGAAAGAAATACAACAGAGTGGGAAAGGTGATAATTCTGAGGAAAAAAATGCCTGGGTCAACATTAATTTGAGAAGCAGCTATGATCCTGCCATGAGATGCTTGTAAAGCATTTCTTTGGTGTTTTACACAATCCATGTTCAGCTGACACATGTATTCCAATTGCCTGTGTTTTGCCCACTTTGAGCCATCCACTAACACACTGGTGAAGTCCACACAACACACTGATCCAAGACTGCATAGTGTGAACACAGCGCACTATTTATACAAAGCAGGTGCACTGCTTTAGTGCACACATAAGACGCACATGGCTGTGTATATGCCTACAAGCAGTGTTTAATTTAGCATCACCCTATTTCAAGTGTTTGAAAACCTTTTTTGTAAACTCCACCTCACATCCCAAGCTGCTGTTTAGTTATATATAGAATTGTCAGTCACATGCTTCCGTTTAAAGGAGACATCTTCCTCCCTACGACGACCCCACCTTTATCATCCTCCTCCTCCTCAGTAAGCACCTCTAGCCCCTCCCTCACTGGGTCGCCAGTGTCCCCTTTATTCGGTTAACTGCGCTTGCGCATACCGGTCGCGGTTGCCCGGCGGCGGCAGCGGCCGTTCAGAATGTCGAGGGCGCCAGGAGGCGGGGGAGCAGTCCCTCCCTCCGGCGGACGCGCAGCAGCAGCCGCTGCTGCGGGAGGAGAGGAGGCGGCGCCTGTGTCGGCGCTGGAGGTTGTGTCCTTCCTGGGGAAACTCCTGTGCGCAGTCGCGGCACTGAAGGCGGCTCTCTACCTGCTCCGCAGAGTCTGTCTAACCATGGCCTGGAAGTCTGGAGGCGCGAGCCACTCGGAGCTCATCCACAACCTCCGCAGTATGTGTGCGCGCCCGGCTCGGGGGAAGAAAGAAAGGAGTGGGAGGAGGCAGAGGGAGGGGCCAGGGCGCGTGCTGCCCATTCTTGAAACCCGACGCAGGCATGCACTCACCCACCCACCCTTAGCTCCCGACCGTTGCTAGGGAGTGACCGCTAGGATTCCTGCTGGCTCTCCGCGTCGCGCGCTGGGGTGGGGGTGGAGGGCGCGCGGCGGCGGCGGCGGCGGGGGGGGGGGGGGAGGAAGAGAAAAAAGCCAACTGTCACTCGGCGACCTCTGGAGACTTAAAGCGGGGGAGGCGGGGGGCGGGGTGAACTTTCCCGCTCTCGGCTTCTTTGCTGGGCGACGATGGCAGGCGCAATTGTATTCGCTGTACTCGCTTGCTAGTCGGGCGTGTCTCTTGCTGCGGGGAAAGCCTGTTTTGAGGGCAGTGTCCGCATAGCTTCGCTGCCAGGCCCGGCGGTGGGAGTAGCTCCCGGAGCCTGCCTCCCCACAAGCCTTGCTTTCTTTGCTCCTCTCGTGGGATTTCTTCTTCGCCGGGCGTTCGGCTCTTCTTTCTATATACGGGTCTAGGGATCTTTAGGGCTGCATGGGCGGTGAAGGCTGCGCATACGTAGTTTCCTGAACTCTGGTCCGCTTGTTAATGTGTGCCTCTTAAAAACGGAAGGGTTCCTGGTGGTACCTCTTTAGGCAGATTTAAGTTTCTAGTCCGTCAGGTTGCCGAGTAAGGAGGAAAAAAAGTGCTTTTCGGAAAGCCTGGCAGTTGGCCTGTCTCTTCTGTCACTTGCTTATTATTATGCAACGTTTCGTCTCTTAGAGTGAGTCTTATCAGTTATTATAATGAACTTCGTTGGCTTGAGCTGCCAGCTTGTTGGGAATAAACATGTTGCACGTTGTCCTATAATAAGAGAGCTAAACAGAATAGGTAATACAACTATAATATAATTTTATCTGGGAGTTCTGTGAACTTCCTTATTGTTCAGGGCATTTTTCAGAGAGAGGGTCATCGGAAGGTGCACATATAAAGTTCCTGGCCCTCCAGATCTGCCTTGAATAAATAGTATTTTGGTGTAATTCTTTATGAAACATTGAAGTTTATGTTGCCAATTAAGATTCTGGCCCTTCCATTCAGTGGGATATTCAGTACAAATAAATTTGGCATAATAATATGCATCCTTTTTCATAAAATGGAAAAATATCATTTACAACAAATCTAGTTTGCTCTCTTCATTTGGCTTCCAATCTGGTTGTACTGTCTCATTTGTGAAGATATTGTAAATGAATAGGGTAGAAATGCAGGCAAGTAATGGCAAGAATAGGAGGAAATGATTTGTGTATTATATTTTATCCCATTTCTTAATTTTTAAAAAAAGAGTATAGTGGACTTAAGGTTTATGCAGTATAGTGCTTCAGGTTTGGGACTAGCACTGGGGAAGTCTTAGTCATAGAAACTTTGGGCTATTCATTGTTTCTTGGCCCAGTATAGAAATAATTTAAAAGCCCTATGTTACTAGTCAAATATAAATATTTTACTTTCTAACATATGTAACCTAGATCTCACTCCCTGTCTTTTGAAGTTGGGAAAGACTATGATACTTTATACTCAAATATCTGCATTTTTCACAATACAGAAGTAGTAGTGGGTATTATTTTATTTTTTACTTTTCCCCTTGGTGCTGCAGGAATAAAAAGCTAAAAGCTCTTTCTGGTATTAATGGGGTTTGCAGTTGCTAAATTGAGCTTAATATTTGCTTCAGTATCTAGTGAAGTATTTGCAGTCCTCGACTTATGACCCCAATTGGGACCAAAATGTTGGTCATTAAACAATGCGATTGCATTTCTAAATGCAATGAGAAATCACTTGACCACATTCCTTAGCAACCACAATCTTCGTTGCTGTTAAGCAAATTTTACCAGTCATTAGCTGAGGACTTACCCCAATCCAAACCATTCTGAGCTTCAGTAAGGTAAGGAACTGCCTCCAACTCCCCCTATCTTATCTTCCCCCCATCCCTGCCCTTTTGACTGTTCTTGTGGGGCAACAAGCAGCTCCAGAGCTGCATAGCCACCCCAGCCGATTGGTTGCCCTCACCATCCTGCGCCCCACCCAGCAGAGCAGTGCAAGTAAGAATGTTAGGCAGTGGGGAAGCCAAAAATGGTTTCACCCAATGGAAAAACTCGGGGTGTGTGTGGTGGCTCAGGAAGCCATATGTAACCAGTGTTAATTGGAGAAGCTGAGCCATTGCTGCCTTTTACTTTTTCTTTGCAGCACGAAAAGAATTTGCCCTGGGAAGCATGATGCAGGAGTTCAGTTCACACCTGAACATGACCTTTTAGGGATGGGTACTTTGCCCTTGGATTGGGAGATAAAGTGGCAATGTTGGTCTATGGGAGGCTGCATTTGTCTTGCTATCAAGCCCCAGTCACACATTCATTGACTGTGAGGAGCCCATCACTTGAACCCTCTTTGAGGTCTTTCTTCCAAATTGGAGGATTGTATGGCTGTGTGTGCATGTGTGTATGTGCGAAGGATATGGAACTCTGATTCCAGTTTAGTTTGCCTCATTTCTTTGGATCTTCCTTTGGCAGCAGGTTTTTTTAAGAGGGCAACCTAAAGTCTGCAAATGTAGACTAACCATATGGTTGGGGAAGTGGGGATGCTACTACTTTTATCCTTGAAAAACCCAATAGACAAATGAGGGTTGGGAAGAGGAACAGGAAAAAGCAGGTAGCAAAACCAGATCCTAGTTTGAAACAGTTCTGCTGGATCCTTTTCTTGCAATCCCTGGGCAGTTCTGAACTATGGATATAGTCAAGATGGCTTTTGGGTACACTGTAGCTCTGGGGCTACTTGCCACCTGCAAAGCAGAATGCACAGTAGCCAAAAGGGCAGAGATAATAGGGGAGATGAGTGACGGGAATTGCAGCACTCTTGTGATTGTAGGTGTGGGCATTCTACCAATCACCCAAATTTTGATCACGTGACCATGGGGGCGCACTGCAGTGGCTGTAACTTTGATTATGGGCCATAAGTTTGTTCATTGCTTCTGTAACTTTGAATGATCACCAAATAAATGGCCTTATGTCGAGAACCATCTATAAATACGTAAGGTTCTTGGATCAGACTCTAGCATGATAATGGTTTGAATTTTATAAACCCACACTTCTAGTGGTCTGTAAGTTTGCAAGAGTAGTAATGCTATTTTGCAGATTCTCAATGGCATTGTCATCTTTTTAAAACTGATTTAAGAACTTTAAATATATAGACACCCTATGATCAACTGGATTATTGTTTCAGATATATTTTCTTACCAGATTCCTTAATACCTTCAATAAAAATAGAGCTTCTAATGTACTGCCTTCATTGGAAAAGTCCTTAAAAATTCAGGAAGATATTTAGAGAGGCATCTGCCTTGAAAATAGCCAATGTTGAATTGTATAGCACAATCAAACATCAGGAGTTGACCACAAGAAATTTTTATGATATTTTGCATTATGTCATAAAATGTTTCATGATAATTTTATGTTGTAATGTTTTTATTTACCAAATAAAATGTACCAAATTTCAATTCCATCAGAGTCAGAGGTTCTAGGTTCAGGATTTTGGATGTAAGCAGTTTGAGGTATCTTGTTTCAAGAAGTCTTGCCCTACAGTGTACCATTTTGCCCAGTTAAATGTTACAGATACAAAAGTTTTAGTAGAATATAGATTTAAAGGTTATGGAATCTATTAATTTTGAACATATTGGTAGTAATCATATAAATCTTGGAAGTTCATATACTATAAATACGTAGGCAAACGACTTGAGATATTTTTTAGGAACTGATAATCATTACATAAAATATTTTTTTAACTCCTCTTGCCTATTTATATCTCACAAAAGTTTAGGAATGTTTATTAAAACAAACCTAAATAATCCTTTGGTACAAAGTACCAAACTCATAGTAATAACAATGGCTTGGAAGTTCTACTAAAAGTAAAGAACAGTACTGTAATGTGGATCATATGTTACATAGCTATAATCGTTGCAGCATTAATATAAAATTGGTATAATAAATTAATTATTTTAAGGAGAAGCTTAATGCTTTCCTTTCCTTGAGTAGTTTTTAATGTTTATCAACGTTCTATTTTTTCTCTCCTGAGCAGTTTATGTTGTACATGGCTGCTATTGTACCAGGAAACCAATGGCATAACTTCAGACTCAGTGAAATCTGAGTCCTTGTGTGAGATATGAAACAAATATTATTTGTAGAAGACAGACCATAGCTCAGTTCATATTCATATAGTCCATATTCTTTACAGGCAAAAGTTCTCCATTTCATTCCTTATCATAGTAGCTGTAAAGACTAGATAGCAAAAGTTCTCTGACATGTATTATAGTAAATAACTATAAACTTAATTTCAATATACACCATCTTATGTTTTAAATGTTGCAGAAATCATTATTTCCTAAATAATATGGGTCTATAGTTTATAGGGAGAAGCAAACTTTTATCAATCTTAAATGTGGGAGCCAATTCAAGAGGCAAATCACTGGAACAAATATGAAGATGTATTTTCTAAATAAGACATGCATAGCTATTGTACATAGCCACAAATATATTTTAAAGACCACCTCATGTTGCAACTATATCTGGAATTTTTATAAATTTCCCAAAAAGTAATGATGGGTAGCAACTGGAAAATGTTTCATATCAACAATTGAGTTAGATAGACACCAACATAATTTGATTTTTTCTTCTGTAGTACAGAATATAAATTATATCAGTTGCCGCATATCTTCCTCAATGGGAATGCTGTTGACATTTTTTTAGTGAATGTTGTAATGAGATAATGAGCCATTTATGTATTCGATTTATATCGCCACTCAGCTTATGAAAGCAGCTGTTCTTTGGAAACATATTCTTTGCTGTTCTTTGCTTTTTCTAAACTGAAAAAACAGTGATAACATTAGATTTACTTGGCTTGATATTAATAATAATATGTGTTTTCGTATATATATATTATATTGGTGTATGTAAAAGCAACATTATTTATTTGAATTTTTTTCTCCTTAATGTATTTATTTCATTTCATTATTATTCTATGTATTTGAATTTTGTTTGCTTAATAAAATCATTTTTGTTTTTTGTTTTTTGAGTTGCAACTGTGTCTGTGTCATTTGCAGCTCTCAGAATCTGAGGGCAATAGAATGCAGACTGAAACATTCTGGAGGCTGAACAGAAAAGCTGAACATATGGAGAAAACAAGAACAAGGAAATCAAATGGGCATCAAAATAGAATAGACTATGCTAGCAAATGGAATGTACTGTATCAGAATGTTATTCTGGTACAATGGGGGCAGGCATTATAGACAGTTTAAGGAGCTAGAATCAACCATTTTTTTAGTTTGTTTTCATTTTTGTAACATCTGTTTTTGTATTTATAATTATTTGTATATTTGTATATTTTATCGCACAGCTGCTCAGAGTCAGCTGAAACCACAAGATGGGTGGCAAATAAATTTAATAATAATAAATTGTAATGCTGCTGCAGAAATCTAGCAGCAAACTTCTAAATAAAAGTCATTAGATCAAAAGCAAAGAGTTAAAACTAGGAAGATTTATTAAAATGCCTTAAAGAACAAATAAAGCTGCAGGTTGAAAAACTGGCAGGCATTGTTCCTCTAAATCATACATTGTTCAGAGGCCAGACACTCTGATTCCAAAGAACAAATGAAGCCATAGACCGGAAAAACATTTCACCAACTCTTCTGCTCTGTGTTGCTCTGAAAGCAGCTGCAAATCATACTGGGTTTCTGTCAATGTGAGGCCTTCAAATATCAATGGCAGATTGACAACAGCAATGAAAACAGTAACTTCTCAGAGAAGTCTGAGGGCCTCATGTGTTTTGACCATATTATTTTTCCTCATTCCAGAATAAGAGCAAATTAGAGCAAAGGAAGAAACCAGCCAGCTGAGCTCCCCTCCTCCCTAGTCTTATAAGAGGAATGTTGATTTCTCTCTTTTTTGTACTTTAATTCATGTTTGTTTGTTTTATGTTTGTTTTATTAGATTTATATACCGCCCTACTCCCGAAGGACTCAGGGCGGTGAACAGGCACAAAATAAAATACATAGATACAAAAGTTAAAAAACATAATTAAAACCAGATTAAATAATTTAGCCCGAGACAATTAAAAATCCCAATAATTTAAAACAGATTAAAATTTTGATTTAAAAGAATTTTAAAACGGGAGAAAATTAGGCCAGGCCGGCTTGCTGGAATAGGAGAGGCTTAAGAGCATGGCGGAAAGTGCGCAGATCCAGGATCCTCCGTACCTCTGGGGGGAGCTCGTTCCAGATAGTGGATGCTCCCACAGAGAAGGCCCTCCCCCTGGGGGCCGCCAGTCGACATTGTTTAGCTGACGGCACCCGGAGGAGCCCCTCTCTATGAGAGCGTACCGGCCGGTGGGAGGCTGCTTGTGGTAGTAGGCGGTCCCGTAAATAACCAGGTCCTAAGCCATGGAGCGCTCTAAAGGTGGTGACCAAAACTTTGAAGCGCACTCGGAAGACCACCGGGAGCCAGTGCAGCTCGCGCAGGAGAGGTGTCGCACGGGAGCGCCATGTTGCTCCCATAACCAACCGTGCGGCCGCACTCTGTGCCAGTTGGAAGCCTCCGGGTGCTCCTCAAGGGGAGCCCCATGTAGAGAGCGTTACAGTAGTCCAGGCGGGAAGTGACGAGGGCATGAGTGACTGTGTGTAGGGAGTCCCGATCCAGAAAGGGACGCAACTGGCGAATCAGGCGAACCTGATGAAAAATCCTCCCATATTCATAAATGTTGATGTCATTTGTGAACTGATTTTGAAATATTTGAATGTGAAATATATATATATGTGTGTATGTACAGTATGCACACCAACACATGTTGGTGTTTAAAAAATAGGTAGTTTACTACAGTGGCACAAACTCAAAGGTTCTTCTTGATTCATGATTATTTTATAAAAATTAGTTTCAAAACACCAGAAGTTTCTTTTCTCTATTTTGCACATAAATTGATTCAAAAATAATCAATAGATTTTCTGCTAGCTGTATTTTCAAGGGCTATGATTATAAAAATGTAATTTGCCTAAAATCCACCAGAGGCTTTATAAGAATAAATGTATGTGTAAATATATTTTAGCATTTCATATAGTATATAAACTTTGAATGAAGCTGCAATTTTAATAGCATTAATATATTTACATTTTGACTAAAATCTTCTTTTTTTCAGAAAACGGAATAATCAAATCGGATAAAGTATTTGAAGTAATGCTTACAACAGACCGAAGCCATTATGCAAAATGCAACCCATATATGGATTCACCTCAGTCAATAGGTATAACCACATATAGTCTGTCAGATTAACTATCTAAATGTTTGATTTTCTTAAAGATTCTGAATCTGAGTCTGCTTTCTGTATGCTTCAAAAATGTATCATGGCTTTAGAAAAAGTGCAAAAAAAGCTAAAAGAAGAGAATATACTGTATTTACTACAAGAAATTAGTAATGCGGAAAAACAACTACGGAAGAACATAATAGAAATGTGTGGAAATTAATATTATACTGTAGAAGTGCTGAAATGTATTTTCCAGATAGTACTGGAAATCATTTTTCCAGCCCCCAAATTAATTATTTAGAATTCATGCTTCCAGATGGTTATAAAAATTATATGAGATACCAGATTTGTCAATGGCATTTAGTCACAATGATCAAATTCAGTTTCTGTGTTCTGAGGCAATATAGAATATAGAATAGAACAGAATTACAGAGTTGGAGGTCTTCTAGTCCAACTCCCTGAATATTTCTGAATGTGGGGAACATATAGCAAATCATTATCTTCATGTTCTGCTTGTGAATTTTTTTTTCATTCATGAATATTTTGTCTGTCGCTGTTGGAAGCAAAAAGCTGGAAAAATAAATTCATAATCTAATACTTATCAGAAACCTCTCCCACATTTATTCCTATATATTGATTTCTTTGTGATGCAAATTCTTTGTTCTTGGGTATTCGTCTTTTGAAACTAAGGGATGAAAATATGGACTGGATTAATGTATTGCACTTAGCTATAATGTAATTTGTTTGGTTTTGATTTAGTGTATATAAAGCTGTGTGGTATAAAGCTACCACATAGTGGTAACTATGGTTTATAGTACTTGCCCAATGTACAAATGAAGCAGTTGGGAAATCAGTATAGTTAGTATAATTATTCTTTAGCGCTACCTTCTCTTTAATAATCACTTTTTAATTATGATAAAAGTTATAATTTGATAATAATTTGAAGATATTTATATTCCCAACAAAAATGTATGGTTTCAGCTTGGGTTTGCAATACTGAAACAAAAGGAAAAAACTTTCTCAATATTCAGGACCTAGTTCAGGAGCAAAACTGTCAAGACAAGACAGTGGTTGGTTCAGTGAAATTTATAATGTTCGTAATGGGCTTGACCAGCATACCTTAGGAAAAGCCTTTTCCCATACTCATATCCTCCACTGAAGTCTCTGAAGGAGACTTCAGAGACTATATATGGAGGTTTTTTTTTAAATTAAGAAACAAAAATTAGTGCCTTCTCATACAGAACCAGAAACTTACAGATTTCAAAATATTTTAAGATGATTGCTTCTTCAAAATCAGGTCGATTTGGACAAATCCTTTGTTGCACAAAACGGGAACAGTAGAATAGTTACAGAAAGATTTTTTTCATAACACCAAGAACATATATCATGGAAAAGTGATTAAACAGAGGTATAAGCTATTTTTGCTGTATGAATTAGAATAGTGATTGCATTCCTTCATTGCAATTGTTTCTTTGAGTGAATTATTCAACAAGCCTATGCCTGGAGCAGTGTTGAAATGTAAAATTTGTTACTACCGGTTCTGTGGGCGTGGCTTGGTGGTGGTGGGGTAATGTGACTGAGTGGGCGTGGCCAATTTTTTTTTAAACTTTTAAAACCATTTTTTCTACAACCTCTTCGGCTGAAGAGGTAAAAAAATGCTTTTAAAAACCTCTGACGATCCCAGCTGAGCCGTACGATCATCAGAGGCTTTTTTTTTTTACTTTTAAAAGCATTTTTTTTGGCTGAAGAGGTTGTAGAAAAAATGCTTTTTAAAAAAAGCCTCTGATGATCGCGGGGCTCAGCTGGGCATGGGGGGGGAGGGATTTTTGCTACCGGTTTTCCGAACCACCCGCCGCCATCACTACCAGATCAGGCGATCCGGTCCGAACCGGGAGCATTTCACCCCTGGCCTGGAGTCATACATTGTATTAAGTCAAAATGTGATTTGTTTGGCTTAGTAATATATGAATATTGGGATACTATGGCCCAGCCAACTTTTCACTTTAAAAAAAAAAGTTATGTCTTTTAAAAAAAGTCAAAAGTTGGGTGGGCCATAGTACCCCAATATTCATATATTACACTAAGTCAAACAAACCGCATTTTGACTGTTTGTGTGTGTATATAAAATGTATAAATCCAATATATAAATGAACTTTTATTAGTATTGGCATTTGGTAGTGGTAGATAGTTTATACATAATTTAAATTTCTTTAATGCTACAAACATAAGCTTTCAATGGGGTGACAGGTGAGAGTAAATGACAACACATCATGATGTTTAACAAATGACAAAATGCATAATTGATGCATCAGTTACTATCCAGTTACATAATCATTTGTGTAATAATCATTTGTGTAATGATGTATGTATTATTTTGATATCATAGTTTGTAATAAAAGCCTAAGAATAGATGCAAATATAGTTATTTTAATTTTAAATAATTGGAAAATGCTAACAAATGGCCTCAGAATTAATTAACTGTTCCATCCAGAAAAGTTGAAGCTGCTTCTGTCTTTGATTTCAAATTTCTGCTAATTTACATTTCAAGTCAGTTAATTATTATTTTTTACAGAGTTTGATATTTTTTCTGAATGTTGCTGGCTCTTTGCTGTAGAAAGCACATTATTTTTTTATAAATATCAATGCTAGAATTTCTTTTCAGCAGCCTAGATTCTTAGGAAAATTGTGCTAAAATATTATTTTAGTGAAAATAATAGCTAAAATTGTTATTAAATCAATTCAAAAGGTTTAGTTGAAAAAAGGTCTTGATATTTTTTCTTGAGGCAATTTCTAATAAATAATACAATTGCTAAAAATACAAGTATGCTGAAGTGGACATTGTGAATACGTTTAAATAAATAATTAAAATCTGATGGTAATCAAATAGATATAAGACGAGATGAAATGAAAACAACAGCTATGGAAATAGTGTTACATAATTTTTCATTTTAGAAAGTTGAAAAAGAATGTAAGGGAAAGGATGCAGTTGCCAAGAATATCAACATGTTCATGTACATGAAGTCACTAGGAATTGAATTTGATTCTGATACTTTATGAATATTTAGCACAAGAAATATCAGTACATTTCCCAATTCAAGATCATGTTCTCCAATGATACTTGTTTGTTCTTTCTTTCCTACTCATTTAGTTATATGTTAGCTGGCTGAAACACATCTGCTAGCTGAATCTATTTACTTGAATATGTTTGATATTACTCAGAAAATGTTCTTTGCCTTGTAGGATTTCAAGCAACAATCAGTGCTCCACACATGGTAAGTCTTAGGTTTCTAACTACTGCAATTCCATACTTTAAATCTTGCATGCTCATTTTAATTGCCAATGTATTGGTTTTAAAGTAATGAAGGTCTTATGTTAACCTCAAAGATTAATAATTTATTGTTACAGAAGTCTCATGTTATGAGAGAGGATTCATTTAATATTGGAATGCAATGTATGTGTTAATCCTCTAAATTCCACAGATCTATTCATTTCAGCACAAATCAACCCATTTCCAGAATAGCATATTCTTTGTCCTGGTTTGGAAAGCCTTTACAAATGTAGTTAGAGGAGTGTGTCTTCTTCTGTAACCTGCCTACTTCTTTTTCATTATGTCATTCTGTTCTTTATTCACATCTTAATTACCTAAAATTAAAAAGATCTTGGGTGCTTCAAAGCGGACAGCATCTATTGATACCATCCAAAGGGATTGTGCAGTTATTACATAATTCCTCAACAAATTTTCTATTGTTTAATAAAAAGAAAATAGAAAAAGCTGTAGGAATACATTAAATGAGAAAAATAGAAGACGTCATTTGAAACTACTTGTAAAATTACATGAGTGAAACAGATTGACAAAAATATAGCCTAGAAAAATATCTTTTAACATTTCACTAGTACTTTTTTTTTTTTTTTAATTTGATTTATATGCCGCCCTTCTCTGGAGACTCAGGGCGGCTTACGATGCGTTAAGCAATAGCCTTCATACTTCTGTACATTTTGTAGCATTCCCATGGTTACATGATCAACACCAAGGCAAGAGCCTTGGTGGCGCAGCAGGCTAAAGTGCTGTTAAGTAGCACCAGCTGCCTGCAATTACTGCAAGTTCAAATCTCGCCAGGCTCAAGGTTGACTCAGCCTTCCATCCTTTTGAGGTAGGTAAAATGAGGGGGGGCAATAAGCTGACTTTGTATAAAAAAGAACACCGCTTAGGGGGGTCCAAAAGCCCTACTAAGCAGGTATATACAAAAGTATGAAGGCTATTGCTTAACGCATTGTAAGCCTCCCTGATTCTCAGGACAAGGGCGGCATATAAATTGAACCAATAAACAATAAATAAATAAACATTCAGGCACCTGGTGACCAGCCTGCATTTACGATTGTCACAGCATCCTGTGATCACATTCTCCTGCCCTGCACAAACTATCTACTTCAGCTCCCTTCATCTGCCTATCCCCCCCCCTTCACTTTCCTTTTGGCTGCCCTACACAGCATGGTCCAGATGAAGAGACCACTGTATGCTGCTGCTGCTGCAACCCCCAGCTGGTTGTCTTCTCACCTCCCTGGTTGTCAGGCTCCTTTTTAGGCCTACTCCACTTCAGTAGTGTTAGCCTGCTGCCAGTCAAGAGGGCTCTGCACATGCTGTACATTTCTACCCCACACAAAGAAGTTTGTATACTGCCCTGAACAAAGGAAGGAGCTCTATTAGAAAGGGAAGGTGCTGAACCACAAAGCCTCTGCACCTTACACTTCTGCTGGCCAGGGTGATCTGCCTGCTGGCCAGTGAGGTAATGCCTCCCCCTTGGCTACCTGGCTGCCTTGCCTTGCCTTGCACTATAAGGTTATCTTCTGGAAATATGCTTTATTGATGGTTTTTGTGTTTTAAGCTTTCTTTAGAACATTTTTTCTAGGTCTAGGTTCATTTGGCATTGGTATTTTGCAAGCTTATGGATGAAATGGTACCATGGTACTCATTTGCCAACCTAGCAGTTCGAAAGCATGTAAAAAATGCAAGTAGAAAAATAGGGACCACCTTTGGTGGGAAGGTAACGGTATTCCATGCACCTTTGGCGTTTAGTCATGCCGGCCACATGACCACGGAGACGTCTTTGGACAGCACTGGCTCTTTGGCTTGGAAACAGAGATGAGCACCACCCCCTAGAGTCGGGAATGACTAGCACATATGTGTGAGGGGAACCTTTACCTTTACTTTATGGATTAAAATTGGGTATCTCTAGATGGAAAGGGGGAAGGGAATTTTAGAAGTACTCTTTTCTTTCAGTTGATAAACTGTTGGGTATTCAGAGTACCCATTTCAGATGTAGTAGTTAAGCCCTGATCTTATATTTGATATATTTTTAAATTGCATTTACTTAATGAATTTTATTAGTTTGCCTTGAAATTTTAATGTAAAAACTATGATGATATTTGAGGTATCCATCTGTCTGTTTCAGTTTAAATACTGTTTTCTTTTTAGGATTTAAAAATATGTTTAAATCTTTATAAAAACTGATTTAATGGTGGGTAGAATCAAAGTAAAATAAGGTTTTTTTATTCTTTTTGGTTAGCATGCATATGCTCTAGAACTACTATATGAACAGTTACATGAAGGAGCCAAAGCCCTTGATGTAGGATCTGGAAGTGGTATTCTTACTTCATGCTTTGCCCGGATGGTGAGAAATTTATTTTATCAAATAAATGAAATGTTTTGCTTTTGTTAAGCAACAGAGTAATTACTCTGTTTTAATTTTTAGAGTACTTTAGGAAACGATTACAAGGGTTTAGTTTTTTAAATTAAGAATATTCCTTTATACTCATAAAGTGTTTTTGCACTCTGACTAGCTGTACCCAAGTTATGTGGTCTACAAAATATTTCCTTCAAGAAAATGCATAAAACTGGAATAGCTAAAACCAACTAATCAAATAGTATAGCCTTTATTGTCATTGTACATCATGTATACAACGAAATTGGTTAACTTTCAAAAGTTAATCTCACCTAATAGTTTACACTATTTTGAAAGGGAAAAATCTTAAAAAATAAATAGTAAGAATAGTAAGAAATTCCAAGTAATTTATACACTAAAGTAGTATCTAGTGTCTCATTCAAAACATTTCAGAACTAGAAATCAGGCAGGCATTTGGGGTGCTGTGCATTGTGAGGCATGCAGCATCTGTTCGTCTCCTATGACAGTAATCTCTAGACTTGGAAAGTACAACTAGCAACATTTATTTTTAGTAATAATTTCAAATGTTTAATTCTACCTAGTCTTCTGTTTGTTTTCTAGTAAAAATATAAGAACTGTTTCTTTTATCGATGGAAGCCAATTGGTACCCTTATTACATCGTTTCAGTAGCATCTGTGTGGGGGCAAAGAAAGCTGGCAAAGATATATGTAACTGGCAACATATTTTACCTGTATGAATAATAATCCTTTTGATTTTGTTTCAGGTTGGTGCCAAAGGACAAGTTGTAGGAATTGATCATATCAAAGAATTAGTTGATGACTCAATAAATAACGTCAAAAAGGATGACCCTTTATTGCTGTCTTCAGGAAGAGTGAAACTAATTGGTAAGTACTAGAAAATATTACAATGAAATAAATACAGATTACATTGCATAGTGTAGCATTTAAATTTTGTGTTAATAAATTAGATTACATTCTCTTGTTCTTTGTTTTTTTAATTAACTAAATTTATATAACTGCTTGATCAAAAAGATTCAGGATGGCATACAGATAAAAAAACCCGCAACATAGGAATGTTAATAATTTTTTTCAAAAAAAGCAAAAAATGATCACCCAAGGCAATTACACAAACCGAAGACAGCCAGAATAATCAGTGAAAATAACACATCCTGATTAAGGGAGAAGGGGAACAACTAGTTTTAAATGCTTGGGGCCATCTGAATTTTGCAGGAAATTTAAGTCAGACATAGCAACAAAGAGAAAACTATGTTTTCCCAAATGACACTATTTAAACAATGGGACCCCGTTATTTACCATAGACTGGTCAAAGCAGATGGTATCTCAAAGATTGTGGAGTTAAACAGCATTTTTTCGAAAAGAACTATTAGCAAACAATCATTATGAACTTCTGTGGCCTCCAAATCTGACATATCTCCCAGAGCACTTGAAATCTCTTTTTCACAAAGATTTAACAAGGTTGTTTATTCCTTCTGGTAATGTGAACCAAAACGGACTAGGACTGCAGTTATAGATTGTAAGTTGTATTTATTTATGAAATTTATCCATGTAACATAATCATGCATTATGTTAGAAATATTTATACTATGCTATTCTCCAACCTTAATCATTTGCACTATGAATTGTAGTTGCTAATACTATCAAAAATTAAATGGCTATTTTTCTTACTACATTTGAAGTTTCATGTCAACTAATTTTGATATTCCATAAAAACGTTTAACCATTTAAGTAGAAATTTAGTGCTTTGACCAATGATATTAAATTCTTTGTCCTATTTTTCTTTCAGTGGGAGATGGAAGATTGGGATATCCAGAAGAAGCTCCATATGATGCTATTCATGTTGGAGCTGCTGCACCTGTTGTACCACAAGCAGTAAGTATGAATGTATGTGAGATAGGTGTACTTTGCACCAAATCTCTTAAGTAAAGAGGGTTAAGAATTTGCTTACACATGATTTAAATATGTTTTAATTGATTTCTTAATAGCATAAATATATTGCAGAGATGGAAGTTTAATTAGATATACTAAACTTATTAAATCATGTTCCTGGAATTTGAGGCTATAATATGTTTGAGTTTTAAAGAGCTTTTAGCGGCCCCAGCTCAAATTCCATTCATTTTTATATAGGTTCATGAATAAGATGAAGGTTCTACAAGTTGCTTCCTACTTCATTTCCTTTTTAATTTCCCCCAAATTTAAATTTCAACTATAATGGGGTAAAGAATAGAAAGGGAATTGTTCTTCTAATCTTATTAGGTCTGAAAACCATTTCAGTCAATTTTTCAGTACAGTAATTATTGCAGTAGGTATTATTGTTTTTCAGTTCTATATATTGCAAGACTGTTGCTTTACATTGTGGTATTAATAATATTTTTTAAATTTGTAGCTTATAGATCAATTAAAACCTGGTGGAAGGTTAATATTACCTGTTGGGCCTGCTGGAGGAAACCAGATGCTGGAACAATATGATAAGCTAGAAGATGGCAGTGTCAAAATGAAACCTCTGATGGGAGTGATATATGTGCCTTTAACAGATAAGGAGAAGCAGTGGTCCAGGTGGAAGTGATTTTCAGTTCGACTTTCTTCTTCCACATACTTGCATATACAAGGTGAAACAGTCTTGATTCTTAAGAGGGTAGCTTGCCACTGCATCATTTGTTGTCACTACTGCTTTGTGCTTGATTATGCATTGGAAGTTTTGCATTGCTGCATAACCATGCAGTTTTTTTAATGTGCAACATTAAAAGGTAAAAAAAAAAATTGCATGGATTGCATGTTATTTCAGTATAATTTATTATTTTTTAAAATTGTGTAGTAAAAGCTAAATAATAATCTCCATTGCTTAAAGGTATTCCCTAAATTTAAAGCTCTTTTTCCTTCTTAGGTCTGATTTCAACAGAGAGAATAAAATGTAAAATGGACTTTGATAACCTCAGTAGGTTCAGAAAATAATGAACTCAATTTATTTCCCAGTCATTAAAAAATGAAACACAGTTCAGAAATCTAGAGGAAACAACAGAAATGATACATTCTAATTTCAACTAAGATGGATTTAGAGAAGCATGTTATGCTTATAAAAACTGCTGAGCCAAATTCTTTATATTAGCATGTATCAAAATGTTTAAGTGTGATTAAATATTGTGTGGTCTTCTTCAAACTGACAGATTGTTCTTCCTTTTTAACTTTTTTTTAATAATTCAGATGATTTGTCCAAGCTTGCTAATTATCCAGTAATACAAAGCAGACATAACTATAGTCAGCATTAAACACTTGTCAGTTATTAGTTTATAAATAAGTAAACCAGCAATGTCACTTTGTTACTGGCCTAGAAATTATATAATACTGACTTTTTACCAGTTGTAAAGCACCTGTGCTCAATGAATTCTTGAAATGTGTAGCAGTTGAATTTACTACAAATACAGCAGCAATTGTTAATACTAAATGTACTATAGTACATTTTACATGACTCAGAGATCTAAATTCTGTGAAGCTAATTAATCATTATTCTATGCATAAAATATATACATATCCTGTGCTTGAAGCTACAATCCTTTGACAATAGTGGAAGATGACTAATATGGTATTACATTCCATCCTCATTGATGTGTATTGGTCCTTCCATGCTTTTATATCTAGTGCAGGCTTGTAAGATATTATTTATTTCAAATCTTAGCATTTGCTTAATATATTTTCATAACCAATTACTTCCAAGTATATTTTTCTTATTGTTGCTATAATTAATTTTCTGTATGGTGGGGGAAGGGGGCAAGTCTATACATATCTATTTTAGGTAACACAAGTGCTTCACTTCGTTATAAATAAGTACTGATAACAGATGGTGCTCTCATTCATCCTTCTGCTCTCAGTTGCATATCTGCTTATAATATCACGACTGGTCTTAGACAGGAATAGACATTTTTGAAATATTCTATTGTAACTTGGAACAGTAGCTAATAAGGGAAAATATGGAAAAAAGAGAGCAAATGTCTTTCACTCTAGTAGTTATATGGGAGATTGCTGTCTAATCTCTTATACACAAAATTATTGCTTTATTTTATGGAATTATAAAAGTGGCTTAACTAAAGCTTTTCTGAGTCATGCAATAGAGATATCTCATTTTCATGAAAACTTGAGCCAGAAGCCTTTTAGCCTATTGAAGACTAACAGAAAGTCCAGGTTTGAAGTTAAGTACCGAAATGTTTATAGATAAGCATCTGGAGATGATTGAATTATAAAAATACTACACCATCCATTAATTCAAATATTGTTTAAAGAACTTGGAAACCAACCAAGTAGAAGAAGATCTCTTTACAGAATATCAGTTTATACTATGGAAGAAAAAAACTATCAACCAAGGTAGTGAAGAAAATAGCTTAGCTTTACTATAATATTTCATGAAAGTATTTCATTATGGCATGGGTAAACTGGTTAGTAGATTGTTTCTTGTCTCTTAATTTCCAGTAACAAACTTCCTGCCATGTATCAGCTCAAAGCTTTGTCAGAAGACTACTAGGTTTGGATTAGTCCACATATTAATTTCTCTAATATTCTAGTTTGTAGTAGGGAAGCTGATGACATTCAGGTGTTCTGGGCTGTATCTCCCAAAAGGCCAGCTAGAAAAGCCATGGGAAGATACTATGAAAATATAATTGTAGCCCAAAACACACAGATGTTAAGATTGCCTTTACCTGTCCCACTTCGATGGTACATTTCATTAGTCATCAAATAGTTTGGAATAATTTCACAAACTTGAAACATACATTTTTTTTATTAGATTCAGCATAAATTTTTAAACATTTTAATTGAACCACAGCAAAGAGAATTGAAATAAAATGTATCATCTTGTTTTCAGCTTCTGAATTATACATTGCTTGTGCAAAGCAAAACTTAAAACTAATGCATACAGTATGTGGTGATTAAAAAAAACCAATTTGTACAGAATCATGACTACAAGTTACAACCTCAAATTCATAATCCTTCATTCTGCTCTTGTTTTATCTTCCTCTTGTTGTTTTTTCTGTGATAGCATTCGTCATCATTATGTTGCATGTATCCCTGTCTGCCTTCTTTCCTTTTTGTCCTAAAATTGGAATCTGGAATTTCCACATATTACATAATTTATGCTGCCCTTTTCTCTTCATTGCACCTCCATCTGTGTTTATAATAAATGGCTATGAATTATACTTTAGCCATATGAGAACTTTTGATTCATAGCTGAAATTTAAGGGTCCTTGGGAAAGAATCTTATGCAATTTTGAGAAATTAAAATTGTAATTTTATACTCATTTTCCTTGGAGTGAGTATTATCAGATTCAGTGTATTTGATGCAGTCTTTGTTCCCACTTATGAAAAGGTTTTATTTTTCCTTTGGGCATTTGATGCTTTCTGAATTTTTTTTCTAAAATACAATCACAAGTGAATTACGATGCTTTGGGGAAGAAGATCAGCAAAGGATGTATCTTTTTGTCAGTGATCCATTGCTTCTAGTGGATAGAAGAGTCCTTTCATTTGACAGATCACAAACTCTAGATTAAGCCCTTTGGGATTTACTGCTGAATAGATTCAGATGTAATTTGTATTATTGTTTCTTTGAATTTTCAATATTATCCCAGACCATTCCTTTTGACAGTGGCAGATTTTGACCACTGACTTTCAGTATTATTTCTAAAGAGAAAATTGCCGTAAATCTATATTATTGTTGATATTTATATTTTGAGGGAGAGGTATTTTTAAAATGTTAGACTTAAAACTTTTTATTTTGGCAATCTATAGTATCATATGTACTTATCCAATGGTGTCAACTACTCAAAAAATTGTGATCCTAGTTTATGTGAATTTGGGAAAGAGAAAAAAATCTTTGAAGGTGGGTGGTAGGGAATCTGCAGCAAATATAAGTATCTGTCTACTGAGTATAATTTTGTTCTATATGTACTGCAATGGGCATATTTCAAAATTGATTGAGACCTCATGCAAAAGCATGGACCTTGCACTTCATTGATAAAACTTGACGTGATTTTTCAATCTTTTGTAAAACAGTAATAGTTTAGGATTCTGTTTTCTCATCTTTCATGTCCATTCAATTATCTCCTTTGGTTCGGTTTTACATGTGTTAGTCTGCATTAATTTACTGTACTTACAAGTATATGCATTTTGGATTGTGGAATGTATTGGGTGTGTATGCATATGTGTATATATCAGTTATGCGCGCACATGCACACAAACACGCCTCTCTGTACCAATTGCTTCCATGGGCTGTTTTATATATTTGGTATTGGGGTCTAAACTGTGTAATCATATATTTAATTTATATTTTGAAAAGTCTTAAAGGCAGCAGTAGTACAAAATCAAGTTCAAGTTTTTGGTCACTATTCCATTTTTTATTATAAATGGTATTTAACCTCTCTTATTATAGAAGCTGCACATCCTTGCTTTAAAATCTTATCAGTAATATAGTTGTTACTTAAACTGGTTTGATACTTTGTATTTGAATAAGAAAGCCATTTTCCACATTTCATAATATTTTATCATTGAAATATATGCAGTGTAACTGTCCATGCTTAGAAGCTGTTGTCCTTCTGTCAATAAAGGTGTCTGTAACAGAGGGCAAGTAACATTTCAAATCAGAGGGGCTGCAGTTAGAACTAACATTTTCAAAGCAGAAACACTGGGCCGTGTTAATGAATAATTTGACAACCAATCCTATTTAATGTTATTTAAGGTATTGGGGGAGTAGTACAAATGATGGGAGGGGGATAACCTTTTTTCTTACTGTTTTCTGATCCTTTTCCATATTAAATCTAATTCATCTTATAATAGTTTTCATTTGTGTAGGCAAAATCCAGTTTCTCTAGAGGGAAATACTTTTATCAAAATTCTGCAATAACATTTTGAACTCAGATTTCCCATTATGCAGCCTTTTGCACAGGTATCGAGTAATTGAACCATAGTTGCAAGTGAATCTCTACTGTAAATGGTCTGCAGATAGCTACAACATTCATGTCTTCAGAAAAACAAAGGTAGCCACGTAATTTTTTTTAATTGATGGCATTTTTACTGACATTTCCATGAAGTATATGAAGGAATAGGGAGTATTTCATTTAAAAATCATATTTTGCTTTGTTTAATTTGACTATTATGTTGATGCTGACCATTTGGTTCGGTATGTGAATCTTAAGTTTTCAGCAGTATCTGAAAGTGAGCTGAATTTTAAGAAATATATGTGAAAACTAGACTTAAAATTTTTTCTTTCAATTTTGCAGGGATGAAATATAAAAGCTACAACATCTGATCCAAACATAGTGTTAACAGTGGACTGCTCATCTCCAATTCTTAAAAGCTTTTTCCAAACCAACAGCATTGCGGCTTGTTTTGGACCGTGTTACACTGTTATCAGCATGGAAAAGTGGTTTTGTTTTGTTTTTTTTAATTTTGTAGAGGTTTAATGCGAGTTTGATAATGGACTGATGGAAAAAAATTAAACCTGGGCAAATTGTTTCGTTTTAATATGCCCTTAATTTCATATGTTAGTGATATATGTCTGCAGATAAGCAGATGTATCTGCAATTTATCTCCTTTTATTTTTCAATTTGGAAACTTTCTAACCATTTCAGCTCCAGTGCTTGTTCATCAAACTGCTTACCTGCACTTTCTTATGCTATCTGCACACTTAAGATTTGTGTTCAGCTGATTCCTAGATCCTACTAAAATGAGATGAATTTCTTCAAAGCTATCAACGTGGTATTTATAGACTAGCATGTAGCATATACAATCAGCAGCTTTTCTTCTCATACAGGAAATCAGACATGTATATACACTTGGAAGCATCAACAAGGATAACATTTATTTTATGTTGCTGTTCAGGATGGACATAACTAACATAGTTCCCTTCCTTTCCTTGTAGCATAGCTAAGAAATTCATAGCTGAGTATTATTTCTAGCTGATTTACAGACTTGAAGTATCTGAGTGTAATATAACAATTACTGTGTAAGTTATGTCCTAATCATTGAACAGTTCACAGTGCTGCTTTGCCAAATAAAATCAAAAGCAAAAAGGTGTGGCAAATAATGTTTTCAATAGAGATATCTTGGGTAGCTGAGAGGTTACTAAAATGTTTCTATCAATAGTTCACTTTCCCCAATATAGAAGTTTTCCTCCAGGGTACTCATCTTGCATTGGAAAAACTGTACTGATCAACCAGCTTCAGAGTTTCTGCAATGTCCCAGAAAACATCTACAAATATTACAAAGAATAAATAATCCAACCCCACCAACTTTTAATAGATACTGGGATAGAAGTGTGTGTTTTATATTCAACTGTTATCCATATGATAGCAATGTCAATTACATTGAGGAATAAGCCTACACATTTCTATAACAATTTCTGAAGATTTTTGTCTATTAAGTTAAGTGAAAAATGAGTATACACACTTATCATACAAGGCAAGCCCAATGATTCTGATTTTAAAAAGCAATTCAAGTTTAAGCCATCTTCATAGCCATTTGAAAACTATGTGAATACACCAAAATGTTAATACTATATCACTGCTGATCTAATTGGGAAGCCATTTTAGTGTATTGCTTTGGACAAATTAATTTATTTGGGATTTGACTAGAATAACTTTGAGAAAAAGGAAGCCTTTTTTTTAAAAAAAACCTTAACCTCAAATCTTCTGAAAGAGATGCAAATTCTGCTCTTTCCCTAACTGAATTTAAAAAAACTATTCTCCCTCATTTTCATTATCATCAATTAGAGTGACAAAGATATATTTTATTTAAATAACCCAATTACCTTCTATAAATAGTTTCATACATTTAATTTACCATAGTTGTTTAACAGTTGATTTGTTGTCAATGACTGTAATTTATGAAGCCATGTAACATTTATAGACATATAGGGTAGTAAAAAGTAACCTGAAATACTTTGGGTGTAGCATCCATTATTTAATTTTCTAGAACTACTCCTGCATATAATAAATTAATTCTAAATAAATAAATATTTGATAATTATAGAGGAGTTAGCTTTAAAATATTACTTGAATTATTGAAATCATGACTTCATATGGCCTTTATAAAACATGAGCTAATGCAGGTTTGGGGAAATAGCTAGGTATAAGCATTATAAAGATTTTAAATTTAAAACAGTTCATGTTGTTACACAGTTCTGGGAAGAAATTTGCTATGGCCACTCAGAAATAAAAAAGCAAAAAAAAACAAACGTTTGAGGGAAATAAAGAACTAACTGTTTTGCAGATAATATGAATCATTGTGCAGAATGTTGAAATCTGGAGATGAATATACTGGCATTATTGTTTCTGTAAGAACTCTTCATGTTTTGGTGTATAAATCCTCAGCTTTCAATTAGTGGCACATATAAAGCATCAGAAAACAGAAGAGGATGGACTCTCCATTACATATAGACCTACTAAGATTTTTTGTGTTATATATGAAAATAGAAAAAGATACTTTTAGGCAAGCCAGTCTTCATTATATATTATTTTTCTGCTTTAAATTGACTTAAAAGAGTTCTAGTTTTAATCAGTGTTTCAGTGTGTAATGATTCCTTATTTTCCTACTAATCTGCAAAAAGATTGGTGCACAGTGCAGCATAATTTGACAAAGTATTGTATTGAATGTAGAGAGCGCTGACATAGGGAAGGTGGCAGGCCTGAAGGCTTAAAGGTGAAAAGATGACTTGAAACCCTGACAGAAGGACAGTAAGTCTTAGTACTGAAATGGACAATGTCTTTGAAAAAAACAGAAGCTGTGATGATATATTAAGCAGCAAACAACACTTGTGTTGATATGGATCAATAAAAATATAAGATTTTATCTTACAATTCTAGCTTTTCCATGTTAGGTTTTAATGAAAAACCTAACAGAGCATGTCAGAGTACTTTTTGATGATTCTGTCACTTTATTCAAATACCTCCATTTATGCTCCAGTCCATTGGAGATGAATTAGGAAGCACATCTTTTTATTACTTAAGAAAAGATACTGCCTTTATAGAACTAAACAGCACTTTGGATCTGAGGAAGAAAAAGGCTTCAAAGCACATAAAGACATGTATGTAATACCTCTTGACAATTTTTAAAGCAGCTGTGGCTTTTCCTGGAACTGTACAATTGTCTTTCATAACTGCAATCCTGGGAAAAGTCACATTTAGCTTAATGTGTTGTCAACAAGTGTTACATTCAGGCCTGTGCATACTTATGTTTTTTTCCCTTTGAATCTGAAATGCTTTACAACCCTAATTATTTAGGAAGTAGCTGTCATATTTAATGTTGTCTTTATCTCCAAATTCAGATGAATCATCTGACTTCAAAAATACAAAATCAGTCTTTTTATTAAATGCTCAAAATTAATAAAGTTCTCAAGAAGTTGAACCTAGATATGAAAGGTATTATGACTTAAAACAGATATATTTCTTACGTTTCTCAGCTCAACCTCTGTAATGTGATCATTAAAATAAGACATACCAAATTCTTGAACATCTTTCCTGAACTGATTTGTACCTGGTCCCTCAGTTGATAACATATTTATATGTTTGGTGAAGAGAAAATATAGCTTACAATAACTGATACATAGAATAAATACTTTGCAATATATGCTTAAGCCAAGGCATACTTTTAGTCCTTTAGACAATTGGGTTAACTTTTTAACTGATGAAACTTTACAATTTTGTTACAAAGATTCAATAACCAGGACTTAAAGCTTTTTGAAAAGTTTACTAGTTGAAACTGCAATAAGTTGCTAAAGTTATTCTCTGAGCTACTTCTGTGTGACAGTTAACAGTCCTGAGGTTTAATATCAGTATTATTTCAGGCATATTATTTTATTGATAGAAGCAATACTCCATACAACTGAATAACTACGGAATAGAGAATAGTTTCAGCTCCCTATCTAAATGCTAGGCTTTAGGAATTTAGTATTTAAAGGAACCTTTTAAAATAGAGTACCTTTCTCCTGTTGTCTGCTATCCGCCCTTAGTAATCTGAGATTCTATTGCCGATACAAGCCTGGCCTACTTACCATATATATTTCAATGGAAAAGGTAAATACCCACATAGAATGGTAAGGAGGTGTTTTAAAAGAACAAGGCAGGTAAACAAAAGATTTCTGACTTGGCTATTTCAGCATTTGAAATTATATAAACTAAATAAGTAGATAAACTCAATTGGTTTTTTTTACTAACAAGTTTAAAATGATGGCTAAATTGTACTGCTAATTTATTGATGGCTTACTTGTACTGCTACTTTTAATTAGGAATATGCAGTACTTCAGATTCAGTTTCAATAAGGTGCTTTGGAGTAAGCAAAAGCATTGAATAAAGGATTTATCTGCAACTCTTTAAAACATGTATGTTTCCTTTGCAGCTTCCCATGAGCCTACATATGGCTGCTTTAAAGAATTGTGGACGCATACAGTACTTAATTCACATGCCTGTGTACTATGAAGATTGGAGTTACAGATATTCTTAAAGTGTCTGAAAAAGGCAGAAATGAAAATAGAAAAGATTGAAAACCTGTAAGGAGAAAGAAATATAAGCCTAAGGTTATATTTATTTCCAACATTGGAAGTTTAAAATAGAGCAACTAATTTAAGTAATATGGTGAAACTGTCATGCATTCCTCAGAGATAAAAGAGAGACTAAAATTGGTGCTCCTCTGCAAACAAAAGATTTCCAATGCATAAGTCAAGACTGCAGTTTCCCATAGATCTAGTACTGTCTGATTACAGTCAAGCAGAGTCTGGCTGCACTGAGAAGAACAAGGCAAAGTACTGTGGATGTCAGAACTGTCATGCGACATAATGAGAACTGTATGCCTGATTTCTTAGTTAATTAAGAGGAGTGGGTTGCTTCATAGCCATCCAACTGAAGTCAACATGATTTTTCAGGTGTAATGACATTGCACACAGGTTGCAAATTGTGTCATTTTTATCACTCTCAACATGTTACACATGATGCACAGTACATCATTTCTATCATGTAATCTCCCTTGCATCCTCTCACCCCAGCCTGTGGAAACCAATAGGATGTTTATAGGTGTATAGTGTCTGCCCGCATTCATTGTAGAAAAGGAAGCTGAAGCGTGAATTCCAAGTCTTCATTTATATATCCCAAGTGCAATTTTTCATGGGAAAATATTCTGATCAGATCATAAGGTTGCATTAAAAGAAAAGCGAGCTCTACTTGAAAGAGTTTGGAAAGTAATGCCCTATAATGAGTCAAAGCTCTAACAAAAATACATATTTGGATTAGATGTGAGTACTGTATCGGTATCTGCTGTGATGTGGGCCACTGCAACAGAACATCATGCTATTGCAGGAGCATGGATTAACCACTAGCTTCCAGTATTTTAAATTGGGTTTTATCACCATACAAAACCAATTTGCAAAACAGAAATGGCTAAACAGTGTAAAGCGAGAATAAGTTTAAAAGAAAATCTTTTGTACACTAAATGTATTTTAAGCTATAGTGGCATTGCACTTGTTCACCAGTAATGTGATTTTGTTTCTGTGGGATTGCAACAGATAAATCGGATTAGCTCATACCTCCATTATAGGCTATTCTTAAAGTAATTCCATACTAGAGCCTTCAGTTGGCTTGGGGATGAAAGGCATTGTAGATCAAAACACTTGGAGGACACCATGTTGGTGAAAACTACCGCATGCCATTACAACTGTGTACATCAGTGTTTCTTACCCTTGGTAATTTGAAGGGGTGTCAACTTCAACTCTTGAAATTCCACACTGGCCGGGGAACTCCAGGAGTTGAAATCCCCATGTCTTCAAGTTGCCAAGTTTGAAAAACATGGTGTTCATCTATCATAGACCTTGAAAGAAAATTTTGGGAAGATGGCTGCTTATTTTGGTAACACAGTTTTCACTTTTAAAAAGAATTGTGAGATGCAAGAGGCACACTTTTGTGAGAAAGCTTGATAGCAAAAAAAGTATCCTGAATCTTGCTCTAGTCTAGAGATACATTCCATTTATGAGGTAATCTGACTCCTCAGATGTAGTAGGTCGCGCTTTCTTTAATTTCTGCCGGACTAACCGCAAACGGCAAGCGACCATGAGTAGCAGCAAAGCGGTGATGGCTAACCCCAAAGCCAGTGGAAGTACAGCACCTAAAAAGAGTAAGAAGCAGAATGTACTAAGTATGCAGCCAATTCATAGATAAGACAGAAGCATCATATTATCCAGATAAACAATTTACATTTCTGAGGTCTTCCCAAAACAAAACCACTTAAGGGGAGATGAGCATATCTGCTCTATCAGGTCATAGTCATGAGAGTGGTATATGACATTTCAATAGTTCATATACTGTGGATGATACCTTTTCCTTCGTGATGATTCACTTTTGTATATTTCTGTGTCTTGACACAGAATAAATCAGTTGAACACCCTACCCCCCACATCTTTACCTGTTTCTGGGACTGGAAGGCTCTTTTCAATCTGAGTGCTCTTGAAGCTGACAATATCATTGTCATTCTTATCTGTGTCTTTCCCTGAGATTCTAGAATCTGTAAAAACAAAACAATGCATCATCAATATATATCTCAGTAGCCCACAGGCGTCAAACTCAATCGTGTCACGTGATGTATCACGATGTTTTTTGCCTTTGCAGAGCAGGGGTGAGTGTGGCTTGCCCGTGATGTATCCGGCCTGTGGGTCGCCAATTTGACACCCTGTGAATAGCAGATAAATTGCATCACAACATTCAAGTGTGCTTCAAGAACTATGACTTGCGCTAGTTACTGTAATAAACTAGTATCTTTACAGCTTGTAAAGAAATATCTTTTATTTGTGGACTATCGTATTTGCACTCTGAGATCCTCTTCTGGCTGAGATTTTAACAACTAAATGATCCTTTTTGCATGCCCCAATTGACTGGATCATGGTGCTTTTAACTAAGTTGACTTGCTTGGGGCTAAGCTAAATCCCTCCATTTGATATGAATTATTTATTGGGAAGTTACTTGATGCTCACTTCTGAGACTAGGATGTCACCAACATGAAAAAGGCAGAGTTAGGTGTGAAGTAAGAACCTCCATCTGATTGCCTATTGTAGCAGTGACTCTGGATGCACCACTTTTAAAAAAATTCTTCAAAAAGGGGGGGAATGTAAAATAACTCATAGGGTGTGGCATGATAACTTATTTAACAATGGTTGAATTAAAAAATTTAAAAAATGGGTATTGAGAGATGGACACAGAAACCTTAGAATAAATTGTGCCAACACAAGAAACTTGAACCAGTTAACATGGGAAAAAATAGTTGGTTGTTTTTAAGAACACAGCCACAAAAGCAGAAACTTAGTTTTACTGTATGCAGCTGAGCTTCCACAACATATATTTGTTTAGCTACACCACATACATTTGTTCACTAAATAAGCCATAGTTTACATATTCAGTCCTAAAGCAATGATTATATTATAATTTAACATGTGAAAACTAGCCCAGAACAACTGTCTTGATTATGAGTGCTTTGGTAGGGAGGCTTCAAAGTAACACTTTCAAAATGAACAGAGTACAGCACAATTTAGTTTAGTCAAATAAACTTGACCAATAAGCTTGGAGAAGTAGTTCCAGGGCTGGGTTCTACTTACTTTTACTACCGGTTCGCAGCGGGGTCACGTATGTGCTCTTCTGTGCATGCGCAGAAGCTTCTGCACATGCACAGAAGCATTTTGATGATGTTGGGATTGGTGGGCGGAGCCTCCCACCGGTTTTACTACCGGTTCTATAGAACTGGTGCGAACCGGGGGCAACCTACCACTGAGTAGTTCCAGCTAAGAATGATTGCTGACTGGTCTACAAATTCTTTTTCTGTTCTTAGAATTTGGAAATTGGAAATACTGAAAAATGGTCACCTTAGACAAAGTAAATGTTGGGGGCCCAGAGAGTGAGATGACCATTTTCAAACTAGTAATGTTAAATGATAAATTTTTAAAGTTGGCAAATACTGCCAAGCCCATGTAGATAAAGTACAAAAAAATAATAATCAGTATTTGATGCCATTCCAATATTTACATGCCATGCAAATCTATCCATTACTATGATAGATTTTATGACAGACAGATCTGCACTTTAGCAGATTGCAAAGAGATTACGGTATATTCTTAAGCTTTTTACCAAATCTTTCTCCATCAATAGAAGGATTGCTAAAACACAACTGGCATTCCAGTGGGACTACAGAGCAAAGTGTTATGTTATGCTATGTTATGTTGTGCCACTTCCCTACCCCAGGTGACTGATTATTACCATGAACTTTTACACATTCAGCAAGACAGTCAGATTCTTGAAGAAAGTTGTTTTCATTGCCTTTGCAACCACCATAGATGAAATGCATGCAAGTGCCTGAAAAAGCATCAAAATGCCAGCGAGGGAGGTGTCTGTTGCATGAGCCAGTGGCTAGGGGGAGCAAGCACTGCTCTGTAATTATAAGAAGAAAAATAGATTAACTCTAAATCTTTGTAATTAGCATATGAAAATCAGACAGCAGTTAGGTTTTATAATATATTTGGAATACATTACCGTAATTTAAACAAGGGCTATAACAGAATACAGAATCTTGCCCTTGTCCCTTTTGTTGACCTGAAAAGAATCTTTCTAGCCACAGTTCCCAAATGCATCCATTTAAGTATGTTGCCTTTTTCCCTTATATTTAACAGAATCCAACACCTGGAAGTATCTAGCTATTTCTACCCACTTCATTCACTGTTCTTCATATTGAAGAAGTTGCTTCCCTACATAAGGCATTCATCCCTTGCATATTCCAGTCAATTAATTCTGAAGCCATGGAAGCACAGCAGGAAGGGTGAGGTGATGGCACTTTGTTCATAAGTAGTCTAATGACAGAATGTCCCCGTGGTTCTCCCTTGAGTGAAGGGAAATTTGAATACATGATAGAACATTATTCATGTGTTGCATGGCATGATGTGCTATTACTATTCCATAATAGTAATTTATCTTCAAATATAACAAACTAGGGAGATTACAAATAGTCCTCAATTTATGACCACAATTGAGCCCAAAATTTCTGTTGTTAAACAAGACAGTAGTTAAGTGAATTTTGCCCCATTTTTGACCTGTCTTGCCACAGTTGTTAAGTGAATCACTGCAGTTGTTAGTTAAGTTAGTAACACGATTGTTAAGTGAATCTTGCTTCACCATTGACTTTGTCAAAAGGTCTCAAAAAGTAATCTCATGACCTTGGGACACCGCAACCGTCATAAATATGAATCAGTTGCTAAGCATCTGAATTTTGACCACATGACCATGGGGATCTGCCATGACGGAAATGGCCATGACTTACCTTTTTTCAGTGCCATTGTAACTTCGAACAATCGCTAAACGAATTGTTGTAATTCAAGGACTACCTCTACTGATTCCATCCAAGCAGTAGTATACTACTAGTAGAAAACACTTCTACTTGTATAAAATGAAGCCTCTCATTTTCAGGAATTCCATCCTGTGTTCTCATGCAATATTGCTCAATCTCAATTTTAATTTTCAGGAGCAGCTTTGCAGAGACAAAAGGGCTGCCATGAATAGGAGGAAACCAGATAAGCACATGAAAGCATGCTCCAATACAAGAATAGCACTGAATATAGCTGCTACTATTTGTTTTCAAAGTCTGTGCAAAATATATAGGGGAAAACATTGATTCATTCACTGGTGTTTTTGAGGTACATATATAAATTATGATCTATCTTCCGTCCATCTCTACCCAGCCTTGATTGTATACATGAGTATTACTCATCAAATTGTGGAAATCACCTGGTTTCCCAAAGCTGTAGCTGAATTAACTGCATGCATTTCTTTAACAAATTTCTATAGTCAACTCAAGGAACAATTGTGAAAATTAAGCCTTAAAATTTTTTGAGGATCAGCTTATTCACAAGTGGCACATTTTTCAAAAGTGCCATTTTGGTTAAAATTTTAAGTGTCAGCTTATTCTGTGGATAGGCTTATACATGACTATATACAATAACTCCACATTTGAGCAAAAATAAACTTAACTTTGTAAGTAAGCCTATTTATTAATATACACTCTAGTACTGTAATGCATTAATATAAGTATTCATACATCATATGAATGCTTAGACTGCAGTGCCCTGGGGACTATAATAGCATTTTTCCAATTCATAGGATTGTAGAAAAAAACAATGTATTCAAAATATAAAGGTGGAGGTGGTCGATTGAGTAACAACAGATCCCACCTCCCCCCACCTTCTAGTCCACCCTCCCTTGCTCCTCACATGTCCTTAGATTTTAATCTTTGGTTTTAATTTATTTGTGTTTTAATGTAGATATATTTTTAAAACTGTAATCCAACCAAAGTTACTTTATGGCAAGACGGGTGGCCAATACATTTTAAAAATCAATCAATCAATCAATCAATCAATCAATCAATCAATCAATCATATTGTTAATCTTACCTGGTATAAACCCTGTAACTTGTTTCTTTGGTCCCTGAGAGGGTGGTTGTTTGATTTTCTCTGGTTCAAGTACTTGACTGCTTAATGTACTTGTCTGGGTGATTTCAAATGTAAGGTCTTTATTGGCTTTTTTCATAAATTCAACTGATTTTTGTTGAATAGTGTCTATGTGAGTTATTGCACTCTGTCCTGAATTATCTGAGTGTAAAAAAAACACACAAGAACATAAGGAAAGCCCAACTGGATTAGGCCAAAGTCCAATTTAATTCATTGTTTAGCTTCTCATAGTGATCAACCAGATACCACTGAGGTGAGACAAAGTAAATGAAAGTCACATGTCATTTTGTGATGGGCTATCTTCATTTTCTCACTCACTCAAAGTATACCTTCGCCCCTTCCTGCTCAAAAATTCAGTCCACACACCTGCCACAAAATTTTTCTTTTGTAGACCCAAAATGCCTGGACTGCAATCTAGCTAATTGCTAGAGGATAGCATCTTCTTCTTGTGCCATATCTGTCATCGGACGTTGGCGATCATGTTGGTGATCCCAATTGCTAGAGGATAGCATAGTGATAGTCAAAACCCCAGATCTTTGTTGGCATTTACAGGCCAATTGGAAACTTGCAGTCGAAATATAGTAGCTATACACCGTACAATTAGCCTTGCAGAAAACATGGGGCAAGGAAAGAGCAAGGGAGACAGGTGAAGCCTCCTGTGCCTGTGGGACCCAAGGCAACTGTAATCTTTTTAAGCCACTGATATGTCTAGACCACTGTTTCTCAACCTTTGGCAACTTGAAGATGTGTGGACTTCAACTCCTAGAATTCCCCAACCAGCATGGGTGGGGAATTCTGAAAGCTGCTAAGATTGAGAAATACTGACCTAGAAACAATCAATACGATATTAGTGTGCAAATGATAGCATTTTAAAAAAGGAAATGAAGCTTAACTGGGTTTACAGTGGTTAGAATGCAGTATTGCAGGCTAACTCACTGCTCACATCCAGGAGTTTGATTTTGTCCAAATCAAGGTTGACTCAGCCTTCCATCCTTTCAAGGTTAGTAAAATGAGGACCCACCTTTTGAAAAAGGTGCTTTTTCAAGAGGCAACTTGAAAAACTGGTCCAGAAAGTCCAGTTGCCTCTTGAAAAAGCACCTTGGGACAACCATGACCTGGATGACTGAGAATCTCCATAGACACTTAGAGGACTCAGACTGCTTTGGGCAATATGCTGATTCTGTAAACTGCTTAGAGAGGGCTGTAAAACATATAAAGTGGTATATAAGTCTAAGTACTATTGCTATTGCTATTTTCCTCACCCTAAGATTCAAATGCAGGATTTCAAATCTACATGCCTTCACTTATTATTGAACTATTATTATTGTTGAGCTATTTTTTAAATGTTTAAATGGACAGATTCTGTTTACTCACATTTATGGCAAAAAGCTTCATCTGACCCATCAGGACAGTGGTTCTCTCCATCACAGGCAAAAGTGATGTCAATGCAGCAGCCGTCATCACAGAGGAACTGGTATCGGGAACATTTCCCAACACAACCTGAAATAGGCCAATGCTCAGGTCAGAAGACAAATTAAATTGCAAAATATAAGAAGCAGCTGTTTACTGTGGATATTGCAGCAATGGAAGCCCTCCTGTTTTGCATCCTTTCATCCCTGTCCTTCATAAAATGACTCTATGAATATTTCAGGTAGAAGAATAAGGCAAAACCATTCAACAAATGTTATCTGTGGACAAAGGGGAAAAAGCAACCAGTTAAAACTAAATTCTGTCCGCTATACCAATTCAGCATACATGGAACATAATCTGTATTCTACTTGCTGAGCTGAGAAAATTAGTGGACCAGAGGAATGCTGTGGATATAATTTATTTGGACTCCAGTAAGGCATTTGATAAAATAGATAATAAATAATCTACTACTTGATAAGATAGAAAACTATGGGTTAGACAGCATCACCACCAGATGGATTCATAACTGGCTGACCAACCACATTCAGCATGTAGTCCTCAATGGAACTGCATCTACATGGAGAGAAGTATGCAGTGGGGCACCCCAAGGCTCTGTTTTAGGCCCAGTACTCTTCAACATCTTCATCAATGATTTGGACAAGGGAATAGATGGGGAACTCATCAAATTTGCAGATGACACCATGCTGGCAGGAATAGCCAACACTCCAGAAGATAGGCTTAAGAAACAGAAGGATCTTGACAAACTTGAACATTGGGCGCTATCTAACAAAATGAAATTCAACAGTGAAAAAAGTAAGGCTCTACATTTAGACAAGAAAAACAAAATACACAGGTACAGTATATGTGGTACCTCACTCAATAGTAGTAACTATTAAGTAACTATAGTAAGAAATAGTAGTGAGAGGGATCTTGGAGTCCTGGTGGACAACCATTTAAATATCAGCCAGCAGTGTGCTACAGCTGCCAACACAGTTCTAGGCTGCATAAACAGAAGATCGTGTGAAGTGTTAATACCACTTTATAATGCCTTGGTAAGGCCGCAGTTGGAATACTGCATCCAGTTTTGGTCGCCAAGATGTAAAAAAGATGTTGAGACTCTAGAAAGAGTGCAGAGAAGAGCAACAAAGAAGAGGGGGTCAATCTATTCTCCAAAGCACCTGAAGGCAGGACAAGAAGCAATGGATGAAAACTAATCAAGGAGAGAAGCAACCTAAAACTTTCTGACAGAACAATTAATAAGTGGAACAACTTGCCTCCAGAAGTTGTGAATTCTCCAACAGTGGTAGTTTTTAAGAAGAGATTGGACAACAATTTGTCTGAAATGGTATAGGGTTTCCTGCTAAGCAGGGGGTTGGACTTGAAGAGCTCCAAGGTCCCATCCAACTCTGTTATTCTATTCTATTCTATTATTAGAAGCTGCTGTTCTGAGTTAATTGCTCATAATTGTTGAATTTTATATGACCTTTATTGCCTTACATTTATTTATTGGATTTATATCCTGCCTATTGTTTCAAAGCTGAAGGCAGTGTATGTAGCCCTCCTATTTCTTCCTGGAGAAATTATGAATATTTAACAATAGAGATTACACCCGCTCCCCATTTAGCAATTATCTCAGCTAATAACCATTTGCATACATAATGATAATGAATGGTAATAAAAATCATTTTCCAACCAATATGCGCCTTTATGACCAAATTTTGGGCATCTAACAACAGTACATGCTGAAGTGAGAGTAATGCTGGGGTAGCTGTGTAAGGGAACCATATGAATGAGATGACAGCAACTAGTGATTTTGCATTTTCTCTCTCTCCTTCCCTCCCCCATCTCATGTGTTCACATAACAATCATTTCATTTTGCTTAATACTTAACTTTCCTGGTAGTTGGAATGGGACTCAGTTGCTAAACAAGGGGAAGGTCTATATGTAGCTCAGGGCTGAATTTTGGGATTCTTGGTGTTCTCTGAGCTTGGTTTGCTTTGTGCAACTCTTTCATTATCGGGTTAGGAGTGAGCTTTGTTGTCTGTTTAGATATAGTAGTCTAGAGTACCAGCCTTGTTGGATTTGGGCAGGATGTGATGATTAGTGGTATTGTTCTTCTTTCATTGCTGCTTAGTGTGATGATTAGATATCGGTTCTTCCTTCTCTGGGTGCTGGTATTTTGATAAGGGAGGACGTGCTCAGCAACATTTCCTCCTTTCTTGGTCTGTGGTTAGACCTTTTGAATGCTTCATAAATAGGGTACTAGTCCTCAATTTACAACCATATTTATACCCAACGTTGAGACGGTTACGTGAGTTTTGCCCCATTTTACAACCTTTCTTGCCACAGTTGTTAAGTGAATCATTATAGTTGTTAAATTAGTAACCCAATTAAGTGAATCTGGCTTCCCCATTGGCTTTGCTTGTCAGAATAGCAATAGCATTTAGACTTACATACCGCTTCATAGTGCTTTACACTCTCTAAGAGGTTTACAGAGTCAGTATATTGCCCCCAACAATCTGGGCCCTCATTTTACCGACCTCGGAAGGATGGAAGGCTGAGTCAACCTTGAGCCTGGTGAGATTTGAACTGCCAAATTGCAGGCAGCCAGCAGCCAGCAGAAGTAGCCTGCAGTACTGCATTCTAACCACTGCGCCACTACAGCTCTTAAGGTCACAAAAGGTGACCTCAGGACACGGCACATAAATATGAGTCAGTTGGCATCTGAACTTTGATCACGTGACTATGGGGATGCTGCAAAGGTTTTAAGTGTGAAAAGCGGTCATAAGTCATTTGTTTCAGTGCCGTTGTAACTTTGAATGGTCACTAAACGAACTGTTGTAAGTCAAGGGCCACCTGTATGTCTGTTGACAGATCATTTGTCAGAATATCAAGCTTGTAATTCTCTTTATAAGCATCAGAGCAACCCTAGAATATCTGCCAGCAACTGGTACCTTAGGAGACCAGACTCCTTTTGGTAATTCTCTTGAATTTTTAGTACAGCTCGATCTCCCTCATGCAACCCAAAATAAATATTTAGATTATTTAAACTAAGCTCCTGAATAAAAGTGGAGAACATAATTCCGATAAATAAATAATAGGAGAAAGAAGGGTCAGGAGAGCAAGGATACTTCCCAGCAATGGTTGCTATGGTGATTAGAATGTTGGGAAAAAATACAGCTGAGCTGGAGAGGTTGTAAAAACCTGGAGGGAAAGAAAGGGAAAATGGAGCAAAGCCGAGAAGGTAAAAGCAATGAGCCAGGCCCAAGGTGCAACAACGGAGTCTTTCTCCAAAGACTGGGGCAACCTAGGCTGGTAGAGACAGGAGGAATGTGGGGAGGAGAAGGGAGATGCAGTATCTGCAGAACAGATAGGCTGTGGTATCCTTTGATCTTGGCACCTTGTAAGTCATGATTCCTGAATCTGGTTCCCAACATCTGAATCTGACCATTGGTTGTGACTCAAGGATGAGACGGTTTCTACTGGAATTGGTTATATACTTGGAGAGATTCAGAAGTAGGAAGTAAAAGCTTGTCAGCCTTTCAAGGTAATCCAGAGAAGAAACTAACACTACCTTTCTTGTAAGAGTCCAATAACAAAATCTTGGCAAAATCTGAAAGTGCTTCTCCTCTCCCCCACTTTTACTTTCCAGGGAACTAGGGAGGGTCCCTTCTGAGCCACTTTCCACATTCTTTCTGTAGGCTGAGATGTCTCTTATCTCACCACTGCCCTGGTTCCAGCTCTTCTGCCTTCTGTCTTTCAAGGATATTCCTACTGACCATTACAGAGCCAGAGCATGTAATTGCTAAGGTATTGGACTAAGAGTAGCCAGATCCATATTCAAGTTCACCCTCAACCATGGTTGCTCACTAGATGACTTTGGACAGTTCCATTGCTAGCTCCTGATCTATCTCACAGGATTGCTTGTTGGGAAAAAATGGAGGACTACGTATGGTGTCTTGAGTTCTCTAGGAGCTCATTTAAGACAGGATTGAAATGTAGGAATTATGAACAAAGTTGGCACGCAGGAACAGTGCTGGAGCAAATGCTTTGCATATTTGTTATTTTTATTTTCTGTTTGTATATTGTGCCCAGATGTCATCTTGTTTTTGGCTGGCATTGGTTTTCATGTTACTATTTGTAAACCACCCAGAGTCAATTGGAGTAAATACCATATGGGATTCATTTAACTAGATGATTGGAGTGATTGTGCATTATGTCAAAAGGAATGAAGCATTCTTGGTATTGTATATAGAAGGAAAAACTACTTTCTTTTGAGATAAAGTTGCTTAAACATGTTGCTCAATTGCAAGATCTCTGCCCAGGTTAGTATTGTGGGTCCTGCTATAGTGGGTGTCACATATAATGGCAAAATTATGTCTTGGAGACTACATCTGTAATACAGTTTACTGGAATGAATGGAATAGCATGCCAGGAGAGTCAAATGAAAAAGAGAACAGGCGTTTGCACTGTGTTTTTCAACCTTGGCAATTAGAAATTATGGGAGTTGAAGTCCACACATCTTAAAGTTGCCCGAATTAAAAAGCACTGGTGTAGAAGGAAATGTGGTGGATATTGTACATTGTGCAGATTGCCTCTTTAAGGTAGTTTAAACTGTAAGACCTGTACCCTATTTGCAATGTATTTAAAGCATGTTCTGTTGTGATTTTAATTACAGACATACACAGTCTCATTCTCAACTATACCACAGAACAAGAAAATGGTTATTTCAGCAGTTTTCTCACCTAATTCAGAATGAATCATTGGAAGTACTGTCACTGAGACGTTATCTGAACTCCTTTGGCCAGCTGTGTCAGTCACGGTCAGCTGCAGTGTGTATTTTCCTTCTTGCATATGAGAGAGCTTCAGTGTTCCTGGCTGAGGTACCTGAGCCAAAAAAATAGGACATTCATGGAATCCCATCCTTCATATTATAGCTACCAAGGTACAACTCTCATACAATCATGAGAGGATTGACATGCAGGCATACACACACATTCTATAATATACATAGGAGAGTGTAAAATTAAAGGCATCATGCCTTTTTATTCCTGCCTAGGTTGCCTGAACACAGGAAAAGCAAATCAAAAAAAGTCTAGGGTTTATTGGTAAAATAAATATTGGAAACAAATACAGTGATCATTTGTAAGTCCCCCACCCTGCACCACATTGGATCAATGCATCCTTAGATTTCAAGATGGTGTAGCAAAAAATACAGATTTGAGAGAGTACACATTTCAGTGCAGTGCTATCATAAAAGAGCAACGTGTTTGAAATTCTCCAGGATTGCTGTCATGTTGTTAGTTTTAAAATCTTAAATCTTAAAATATAAAGAGGAAATTCATAGTTTACATCTCAGTGAATCAGCCAACTTTCTCAAGTAGCAGAGAGCAGGAAGGTATTCTTTCAAGCCCCTAAGACATTTTCACAATGAAGAACACTGTAAGCCACAAGTCCATATTCCGGTATGATGGAAGATAAAATAAGTGATTTAGCAATGAAATATGTTTCACTTGCCAGTCTTGTCAACTGGAGGGAAGCAGCATCATTTTATTTTTGGCTCAGAAAATAGGTGACAAACCTCACTTAAATTATCATCCTCACAAAAGTAGAAAATAAAAGCAGTTTGTGTGATTGGGTGTGTACACATGAATGGATGAGAATCCCATGAAGCAGGACTCCATATAACCAGGCATCTGATATTTGGCACAGAGAAGCTATTTCTTCATAGCTTTTATCACTGATTCTACTCTGATTCTTTTATCATAGATTCTATTCTGTTGTTTCCAGAAGTTTTTTTAGATCTGAGAATTCAGTTTGGCTAACAATGCAAGCTTTGTGTATGCAATCCTCACTGCGTATGATTCAACTAAACCAATCTTCCTATTCTACAGATCCCCACATCCATCTTCCCTTGTCACTAAGAGTAACTTCAACTATGCTGAATAGTTGTGCATAAGACTGAAGCATTAGAATCTTAGCACCTCACTGGCATTTTAAGAAGAGCACTCCAGAGAAAGGGCAGGGAAATCTTTGCAGGCTTTATATAAGAAAAACAAGTTCTACTGAAAAGATTATTACAGAAAGAAATGCATTATTTTTCCCGTTACGACTAAATCACAAAACAATATTGTTTCTTCTACAGGGAATGAATCTATTCCAACATTTCTCAACCTTAGCAATTTTTAAGACATGTGGACTTCAAATCCCAGAATTTCTCAGCCAGTAAATGTGAATTGTATTTCACGTGTCTTAAAGTTGCCAAGGTTGAGAAATCCTGATCTGTTCCGTCAGTTTTCAACAGCAGGTGGCAGCCATGGCTCAGAAGGCCTTTGCACAGCTACAATTATACTGAACCCACTTTGGATCAGGAGGTCCTGTTCATAATCACTGATGCCTTGATCACCTCTTGGATTATAGCAATGGGCTGTATTATGAAGTTGTCCCTGAAGACCACTTGGAAGCTGTAGCTGGTCCAAAATGTGGCATTACAGATAGTTATTGGGGTATCTCAATATACCCACTTAATGTCTACTTTGTGAGCTACACTGCTTCTTTGTGCTTTGGAGTACAAATTAAGATGTTGGTTCTCATGTATTAAATTCTTCATGGAGGAGGGCCATGTTATTTGTACAACTGTTACCTCTGATTACTTCAGTCTGTCCAGTAACATCTTGCAGTCTTGGCATGCCTGTCACTTAGACAGTGTCATTTGGCAGAATGTAGAGGATGTGCCTTCTTAGTTGCCACTCTTGCCCTTTGGGACAGCATCCCCATAAGATATGGTCGGCCTGACCCTACCTGTTTTTCAAAAAACATTATTAACCTGGCTCTTTCCCCAGGTACTAAGTCAGGTATGCTCCCATTGGCTGAAGCTTTTCTAAGCATTTTACGTCCTGTTGGGTTTCTGATTCTTTGATCATTGTGTTGTTTTTATATGCACTCAATTGTGATTTGTTTATTGGTAATATGCTACTCTGAATCATGTGCTGAGTGGGCAGCTATATAAATCACATAAATAAATGAATCAACCGAACAAAATAAAATGTCATTTGCCTTGGCATCGGGCGTACTGAAACAATACAAGTTGTCCTTATTCCAGCCAGCTGTCCCTGACCTAAATGCTGTAGGTCTTTCCAAAAGGGCACTGTGATATGTTTAATTTCTCTTTATACCACTGCTTACTCAGAATTCAGGTGACTTGAACAAAGCATCCATATTTTATCTTGTTCAAACATACAGTTCTATTCACCATTGTGAGCTGAAGAATAGAAAATTAACTCATTAATATCAACGTTACGGTGAGCAAATATAATCAGCAACTGACCCCAATTATGTTAACAATAACTGTAATCAGGCTTTATGTGTTGGCTTCTAGGAGGCAACCACTCTCTGCATCTCAGGTCTAAAACGTTTTAGGTAATTTAAGCAAACTGAAGGTCATTCGGTTGGGGGGGGGGAAATCTGCTAAATTTAAAGTGAAATATTTTTATTTATGCTTGGGATTTGCCATCTGATTTTTTTCCAGGTAGCAATTTAATTTACAAGATACACCAATAAAAGAGCCAAATAGTTTAAGATATAGCATAGGCATACCCTTTTAATATTAATATTTCAGTAGAGTTGCAACAATATTGCAACCCCTTTAGAGATAAGGGGTTGCAATATTGGGTTTGCTTTGATTAAGCAAAATACAACTGCAGTACATATTTGCAGTACATTGTTATTTATAATAACATAATAAAGTAATAACTACTGTAGTAGTACCCCTTCGACTGCATCTATATGATGACAATAGGGCAAGTCCTGAATGCAATAAATAACTACACATTTTTGGGAAGTGTTCCTATAAATATCTATAGAGATTCTCAGTCATCTGAGAGCTGAAGAAGCTTCTTGGATGAGAAGCGAAACGTCTTCAAAGAAAAAAACAGAAAGTCCAGTTGCCTCTTGAAAAAAGCACCTTTGGGTTCCTATAAATACTTTGTACTTTGTCGATGTGAGTATCTACATCAATTCCTGGAAGTGACATTTTGTAATGTTAATAGATGCAGTTGTTTTGCTCATAGATTTCCCTGATGAATCTTTGTTTAAACATGGGTTCTCAAAATCTGTGGTCCTAGGCCTAAAATGGTGAGGTAATCAAGCAAGGAATGTCTCCCCTGTTATAATGAGTGCCAGAGATCAGCTTAGCATCAAAATGGTTCCTTACTCATTATCCCTTTTATGCATGCAAAACTGGAGCCCTGCTGGACTTCAGTCCTGCTGCCTCCCCATTCAAACGACAATTTTCCAGGATACAAGCAGGAAGTGAAAGAGACATAAGCAGGTACTTGAGGCAAAGCACTATCAGGCAGTTTTCTTCTCTGTGCATTTTATACCTTCTACCTCCCTACCTTCCCCCAGCACACACAGATGGGATCTTGGTGCCCTATCCAACATAAAAAAACACCTTGTTTTGCAAGCCTCTCCTCCTGGAATCATGAAGCCTGGAAAAGGACAAAGAAGGCAGATTTCTGGGGATTCTCTACAGAAGGATTCTCATTCCTTCTATTTTCACTGCCATCCAGGCACCCATCCTTTCCTTTTCTGTCAGTTATCTTTGTGCACATTTCCCTTGCCCCAACTTCTTTCAGTTTTGCACTCGTTGCACATGCCTTCAAAATAAAGAAAAGGCACCCCTGTCTTTGAGCACAGTGCTGGAGCCCTGCACTTTCCAAAACATGCATTTTCCTAAATATGCAAGCAAGTATATATTACTCATATTCTGCAATGCCACACCAAGCAGTAGCTCACCAAGGCAAGAGAAAAGCTGAAGCAATCCTGACTTGATCTTCTCATTACCAGGTAGCCAGAGTGGAAGGAAAGTGCACTTAGGACATTCCATAACACATGCAAAATTGGGATTCTTTATCTCTTTTACACATGTAAAACTGGAGAAAACTTGATCCTGCTGTGATAGGAGAAGCCAACTACTTCTCCCATCACAGCAGGACTAGAGTTGAATTAGCCAACCACTAATTCATCTAGGCAAGGCAGAACCACATTTGCAGAGTAATCTGGTTTGTGTGGGCAACTCCTCCTATTGCAATTGGTTTGCTATCACTTAGATAGTCATGACCCACACATTGACTTCTAACTATCATATCAATGCCTTCCTTTAGTGTGGACTGTTTGTTTTGCCTCTCATTCTGAAGGCTTAGAGAATAGAATCATTTTGCCTCCAGACAGATCAGTTACAATAAAACAACATGTCAATCTGCTCAAAAGATTGAATGACTAATCCCAAGTCATACAATAGATTTTCATGACTGAGGGTGGACTTGAATTTTGTTTGTTCTTAGTCACTGTGGTTTATAAATCATGATTTATGGCTTAACATGTGTGAAACCAACTGTGATTTATTCAGTAAATTGTCAGTACATAAACCATAGCTTAATAAAGATGCATAAACTAAGACTCAGACCTATTTAAAAAAGGAACTTAGTTGGATATGAGTTTAGTAATTCCACTGATTTTAATATATTTAGTATGAACATCACTGAATCTGAATTCAAATGTTTTCTGTCTGTGTGTGCAAGAATCAGTGCATGCATTCATCTGTAAACCCAGTTTCACGAATGCATGCTTCAGGAAACAAATATCAACAAAAACAAGTGACTGTCTCTAATATTTCTTTACTTGCTTTATTCTGAAAGAACAGTGAATATTTCTCAGCTCTGTTGTTTCTAAAATTCCACAAAAAGTGCAGAATATACCTTGTATTGCAAAATATAACGTACCTGCATATCAACGGAAGATGCACCTTGAAGTAATGTCCACTCATATCGTATGATTCCATGGTCATCCACACTTTCTCTGCCATCCAGAATAACCCAGTCAACAGGTAGTTGAAGAATAATATCTTCTCCTGCCTTGCTAAGAGGAGGCTCATCAGTTTCTAATTAAAATAAAGAATCTTAGTGAAAAAAATGAGTATACATCACTCAAAGTTAGGATTATTGTCTTTGCCTGACTCACTTGTATTGTTTTATTGTAGATTTTTAAATCAAGAAAAATCTGTCTTAACAACAAAATATTTTCATCAATCTACTCCAGACTTTTAGTACAAGTTTATTGGACACAAATGAAAAACTTCTATATTTAATGTTTATGAAGCCTATATGTAAAGTAGATTCTGAGATTTTAAATTAGATATGATTTTGCTTTCTATTTAACCGTCCGCTAACAGGAACACAGGCTCTGATAAGCATATATTCATCAACACAGTTGGATCACTTTATGGTCATGGTTTTGAAATCTAGTCCTCCAATTCTGCAAAATGTTCCCCCCCCCTTGTGAAAAAGGCTTCTGCTTTCCCATTTGATACTCAAGATCAAGCTTTGGTTTAGAATTTATTTTGACATGGTATTTGCTTACCTAGAGTTGCAATTTGGCCAAGGATGCCCTTGTTGTTGGATTTCCACCCCCATACTTTTCCATCATTCTGCAGCCTCCTACGCTGCCCTTGCTTCCATCGCTTCTGAACTAAGAACATGAAACATGAATTATCTCATGTCTTTCTTTGGGTTTTAAATGAGTTGTGGAAAGCCTGGAGGCTGTACACTGATGGAAAGATAATTGTATAATGAATGACAAGCACTGCTTCACATATCATTTGGCTATCACTTGACTGTCTCATAATGTAAGTGCATGCACCTTGAACCCCTCCTAAAAATGTTTAATCAAAAAACAAATGTATTTATATGTTTATTTTCTATAAAATTAAGTGGAATGTCTAAAAAATTGCAATAGAAAACATTGGCAGATTTTTAATTGACTCAATTAAAGTGTGAAGAGGCCCATTGAGCATTTCTGGTCCACTGTGGATAATAGTTGGATAATATTTTATGCTCATGATTATCCTGCTCATTTTTGAGCCAGGCTAGTGAATGTAGCTTTTGTGAATTAGAATAGATCTACAAATAAGTTGTGATCTTGGTATGTAATTGAAAGTCTTTCTAAAACAGGCAAAACAAAGGCATACATAATCATTGCTCACTTGGCTTGTCCAGAGCCCCAATTTGCAGCCGACAATAGAAATTTGAGTTAAATATCTCAGGCAACAGGGCTATAAAAATACAGTTCTAGTGTTTTTGGAAAACACCTGCACGAATAATTTGAAAAATGGAGGGAACGAACCCAATGAATTGATTCTGGAACTGCAATGACACAATAACTAACACATTGTTAATTGAATCATGGTTTATTGAATAAACACAATTGACTAGGTTAACCGTGGCCTTACACACAAATGAGGAAAATACATTTCACTTCTAATATACTGGGTCAATCACTCAGGTTAAGGCAACTTCTTCATTTTATTCCCTAATAATCACTAATTCATTTCCAGTCAGAAAAATAAAACTACCACTCTTCAAAACTGAAACCTAGCTGTCCTTTCTTGTCTATGTAGTTGGCACGCTAAACAAGATACATTAAGAACAAACAAAAATTATCAGTCTGCAGTTTGAAGTAGCTAGTCTATGTATATCAAAATTAGATTCATATCTGACCATCTTATGCCAGTCCCAAATCAATTTTGAAGTAAGAATAGACACACTAAGCACCACTCTTTAAGGATTCATAAAATCTGGAAAAAAGGCCCAGAGTAAGGCAGCAAGGATGATCAAGGAATGAAAAAGCTAAAATAATGGAAATGTAAAGCCTTCACAAAAATTATCCCACGATATTTACAAGAATGCATTTGAAGCAAAACTTCACAGAGGAAACAATCATCCATAGGGAATGAGCTCTGTTTTATTGGATCATATAAACAAGCAGAGGGTGTACCCCTTCTGGGAACACTTGGAACTGTATACCCAGGAAGGAAAGCAATGGAATGGAAAAAAAGCACACGTCCTGTGCAACTATACAAATATCTGAAGAAGATGATGCTGGCATTTTTTAATTGTTAGCCACCCAGCTGGTGTTTGCTGGGATGGGCAGCTATAGAAATCAGATAGATAGATGATAGGTAGGTAGATAGGAGGTAGGTAAGTAGATAGATAGATAGATAGATGGATGAATGAATGAATTTTTTAAAATTTGATTTATATGCAACCCTTCTCTGGAGACTCAGGGCGGCTTACAATGCGTTAAGCAATAGCCTTCATACTTTTGTATATTTATACAAAGTCAGCTTATTGCCCCCACAAACTGGGTCCTCAATTTACCTACCTTAGAAAGGATGGAAGGCTGAGTCAACCTTGAGCCTGGTGAGATTCGAACTTACTAATTGCAGACAGCTGGAGTTAAATTACAATGCATTAGTCTGCTGACCTATCCAGGCTCCTGGAGATGAATGAATGATAGATGAATGAATGATAGATAGATAGATAGATAGATAGATAGATAGATAGATAGATAATGATAGATAGATAGATGATAGATAGATAGATAGATAGATAGATAGATAGATGAATGATAGATAGGGTAGAAGGAGGGAGGGAGGGAGGGGATAAAACGATTTTTGGGGGAGGGAGAGAGAGTTAATACTACATTACCTCTCCATTCCTATATTTTAGTATTAAAATATACTCTTAAGAGCCTCCTGTTCACGTGCAATTCGCTCCCGCCCCCCATCTCTTTTCATGAACTGAAACCGTTATTATTTTAGCCCCCCTTTCAAGAAACCGCCGAACTCTTAAGCCGACGGCGCTCTCCTTACCCAAAGCCGGAGGAGGATGGCTGGTGGGTTCCAGGAAGTAGCTGTTGTAGCCGCGCTGAGGGGAGAAGACACAGACGGCGCGGCCGCGATAGGTGCAGTTGAAGAGATAGCAGCGGACCGAGGCCGGCTGCTGCTGCTGCTGCTGCTGCTGCAAGACGGCGAGGGTGCAGAGGGCATCGGCGCAGCAGGCATCGAGGCAATGCCTGGGAGCAGCCACCGAGCCCGGAGAGCCGAGGAACGTGGCCCCCGCCGCGATGGAGTCCTTGGTGCGGATGATGGAGTCGGACCTGACCGAGAAGAAACTCCCGCCGCTGCTGCTGCCGCCGCCTAGTTCTTCAGTCCCTCCTCGGCAGCGACCGGCCGCTTCCTCCAGCTCATCGCTGCGGCCGCCGGAGGGATCCCTCTCAAGCTGCAGCTGGCGGCGGAACTCCTCCAGCAGCGATTCCACACCCGACGCCGCCGGGGATCTTAGCTCTCCGGTTGACGATCCCGGCGCCCCCAGAAGCAAAACAAGCGGCGGTAAGAGCCAGAGGACGAGGAGGCCCGGGGGGCCGGCCCCTTCCGCGGCCATAGCACCCAAGGGACGGAGGCAGCGGAGGACGATGGCGGTGCTGACGACAGAAGGAGGGAAGGGAGGAAGGAAGGGAAAGCCTGGCTGCTACCACTGCGGTCCGGGAGATGGAGAAGAAGGGGGTGGCGGCGGCCGCGCCATGCTGGCCCCTCCCTGCACCAGCCGCCGAGGACGGAGAGCAAAGGGAGCGACTTCAGTCAGCACCACCGGTCCCCGAACAGTTCCGAGCGGGAGGCCGCCCCGCCCAGGCCCGCCCACGTTCGGTGAGCGGAGGGGAGGAACTCTGGGGATGCCCCGCCTAGCCCTCGCCGGTCGCGGAGGGGGGGGTTGGCGGGGGGTGGTTAGTCCTTGCTACGTTGAGTTGCTGACGTTCAGAAGGTGGGATTGTCTGGATCTGGATGGAAGGAGCCCCGGTTCCGGTTAAGGTCTGAGGAAGCTCCTGATGCCGCGTTTCTACTGAAGCACGACACATGCAAGCAGACATCTGTACCTGCGGTGGCCTGTAATCTCATCGATTCAGGTTGATAATAACGCAGGAGGAGGAGGAGGAGGAGAAAGAAGAAAGAAGAAAGAAGAAAGAAGAAAGAAGAAGAAGAAGAAGAAGAAGAAGAAGAAGAAGAAGAAGAAGAAGAAGAAGTTGTTTCAGTGGCTAAAAAGCATATTTTATTTTGAAATGTATTACAGATGTACAGAGATCAGGTCCCAGTAAGAAATTGTCCCCACTCTACAATATTCTTCCTCTGGAGACTTGCATGCTGCAATTGTAGATGTAAAGAGCACAATCTCACACAGACCGATCAACCATCCAGACTTGTGGTTCCTCAGCCAGTTGTGTTATTAACCACCATGGCATTTGTATTTACAATTCGTGACATTCTCACTTAACAATAGCAGCATTTGCTTGACAACCGTTGCAACAAAAGTTGTAGAATTGAATTAGTCACATGACTTTATGACTGCTATGACTTATGACTGTAATGGGCAGATTCCGTTATGGTCATAACTCAAGGACCACCTATAAAGTTATCCTAGCATGACATGTTTGGTGACAAACCCAAGCTGGCTGTTATAAACTGTTGCGTTCCTGTTCAAGGGGTCATCATATATTGTTAATAAACTGCTTAACTATCTTGACTATGGTATAGTCATCCAGCTAGCATGTTTGTAACTCCCTGAGTTTTTCTTCCACCCTGAGACTCCAGGAGTTCTTGGAGTTTAAATTCAGATGCTCTGTGATAATCTCTGTTACTTCCTACAGTACATTAGGATATCATTATTTTGGTCCTGGAGATCTAAATTCTAAGTGTTCTCTTATCCTCTTCTTCTTTTTCTTCCTCTTGAGCTTCAGCTCCTTCCTTCCATTGCAAATACAATTGTGACTGACATCTCTCTCTCTCTCTCATATCAAGTCAGTTCAAAAGTAAATCACCAGATGTTATTATATGGGGTTCAAATTCTGTATCAGGAATTGAGCTCATGGACTTTTGCGCTTTATTTTTTTAATTTTTTTATAATTTTCAAAAAACCTTTATTAAAATTTAAAATATTAAAATACAAATACAAATACATCTGTAACAAAAATATGTCCATGATAGTTGTACAATTCAACATCATTCCAACAGTACACAAATCTTAACTCTATTCATATATTCTCAGATATTTCTTCTTGATCAAATATATGTAAACACAATTTATGTCTTATTTTGATCTATATATTTCCTATTTTTATTTTCTATCCATTGATACCAGTTTTCCCAGGTTGAGTAATATTCCGAGTCTTCCTTGTTATTTAATTCTATAGTAAATTTGTCCATTTCTGCACACTCAAAAATTTTCCAGATTATTACACAATCTGTCGGTGTAGTGGACTTTTGCACTTTAGATCCCTTCCTGCAATACTGCTAAGTATCCAATTTGGATAGTTTTTGAAACTAATGCATTTATATCTCACCAGGCTCAAGGTTGACTCAGCCTTCCATCCTTTCGAGGTAGGTAAAATGAGGACCCAGATTGTGGGGGCAATAAGCTGACTTTATATAAAAAAAGAAGACCGCTTGGGGGGCCCGAAAGCCCTACTAAGTATATACAAAAGTATGAAGGCTATTGCTTAATGCATTGTAAGCCGCCCTGAGTCTCTGGAGAAGGGCGGCATATAAATCGAACCAATAAATAAACAATAAATAAATAAATATGTAGTCATCTGAAGTACAAAGGTCCAGGAGCTCATTTCACAATAGGTTTGACTTCTGTAGAATACCATCTGGACACACATGTCTGAACAGCCCCTAATAGGACAGCCCCTAATAGGACAAACCTACTGCTTTCTACTGATCAATGTAACGGAAAACACTGTGTAAATTAAACACTGCTGTATACAAAAATACATAAAATATATACCTCCATGATAACAGAATGAAGGTTGGAAGTCATGTAAAACCTCATACATGGGGCATGACATAATATATCATCTGTATACTCCAGTATTCTTTATATATCATTCTGATAGATCAGAATCAGGTCTGAGGCTTGGTACTTCTCAGCAGGAAATCATCCACCACAACCACTTTTCTTTCTCAAAGTGATTTGGCAATTTCCATGACCCATGCGGGCAACATTGTCTTCTGCCCTTTTCTCTGAATCTTAAGATGGCAGGACTTATTCAGGTGGATGTCAGCTGTCATCTTGAGCAACAGTTTTAGACCAGCTGCTGATTTATTTAAATATTTTTTCCATTTATTAAATTTGCACTCTGACTTTCATTCAAAAGTTCAAGATGGCGTCCATAGTATTCCCTCCACCTCCACTCCTTCCAAGTAGATTGGTCTGAGAAAGAATGACTGGCCTAAAGTCATCAAATGAGCATTAATGGCTGAGGAAGGAGTTGATTTTCCCGCTTCCCATTCAGTACCACTGATTCCCCCTTGATCCCTTCGCTTTGCTTAGTCACACACTTCCACTTGTCTCCCTCTTCATTTTCAATTTGTGACTTTTTTTTTTTTCAGTACTCTGCATTTTGTGGAAGGTTAGCTGCCTTGAGGATCTCCAGTTAAATAGAAAGGCAGGTTAGAAATAAAATAATCCAATTATTATAATATATTATAATAAATTATAAAATTATAATAAATTTCAATAAAAAAATAAAAAAAAGAAATAAAATAATCCAATAAAACAAAACGAATAGTGTGTCAGATCACATTAGCAGTCTTTGGTTCTTTCTCAGTGCTATTTAACGAAATACAAAACATATATGAATAAACAATATTTTTACGCTGAAATTTAATTTTAGTTGTACACTTTCCATCTCAGGATAGGCATTACAAAGGCAGTCATTTTAGTTTTTATTCAGAAGGTGGCAGCAGCTTACAGTGTATAGATCTAGTATATCATTTTTGAGTATGTTTAATATCATAGGCATCGTGCTACATTTCATGATAATAAATTATTGATAGATATTCTACAATAAGATAAACATATATATTTATTATAGTTATTATATCAATTATTTTCCAGCTCGAAACTATTTCCTCAAAAGTACAAAAGGATTTCAAAACAGAATTATTTATAGTTATAGTTGGAAATGATCCACTGACTTTCTAGATTTAAGATTCTGGGGAAAAAATTGTTAATCCAGACTGGTACCTTCATTAGCAAATGCTAAGATTTAATGTGTTAATAAATGAATAAACAAAAGAAACAATCAGATGACATCATGGATTATGCAGCAACTAATTCTGCTATTTGTCTGTGCCAGCCTCCTTCAACCGTGTGACATCCTGCAGGACTATTGGATTAAACCTCCAGTATTTTCAGCAATGGCCATGTTGATGGGGTAAATCTGAGAGATGAAGTCCACATATTTGGAGAGCAACCAAATTAGGAAATGTCATAGCTGACCATTGATCTGCCTTTCCTGTATCACAAATAGAATCTGTCTGTGGTTGATAACTACTAATATTCTCTTACTATTTTCAGTTTTTTTAGATGTTGGTTTATTTTGAAATGGTTCGATTCCTCTGTCCTTTTTTTACTGTGAGCAATAGAATATTACCGTCTTGAAATTCAGCTAGTATGGAATGTTTAACTTATTCTATATGTGTGCTCATAGTTAGTTTCTTTTCTTTCTCAGACATTTAAATTAACTGATTATATTCTTCTTTCAAAGTTACCAGATGCTGCCAACTGCTCCCAGATTTTTAAATGTCTTATGGTAAATATGGATCCAATAAGCTAAATGAACATTCCATTATGAAAAAAAAAAGCTCCACAGAGTATGCTGGAAGAAGAATACATGCACACGTATAACAATTGACACAAAGATATAAATGAATTAACCTGTGGATTGAGCTATAGGGTAAATATGGATGCAGAAACAGAATTACTGAGTAAATTAATATGAAAAAATAAGTCTTTTATAGCTGAGGAGCAAAGAGATGCAATGCTTACTTCTGCCCCTGTGGTCTCTTTTTCTCTTACCCACATAAATCTACTCTGCTCCAAGCATATCCAGAGTATCTGCCTTGGGTGAGGTAAGGACACAGCTTGGGGAAGTGTTAGGGTGTCATGGAAGAAGCTAGAATCTCCTACATCATTCAAACAATCCTTTCCCAAGACCTCACGGCCATAGAGGTGTTGTTTTCACCAATTTACACAAGAATGTCATTACCATTGAACTGTCAGACATGGATATCACTCTTCTACAAAATATTGCCCATAACAGCTTGGATTACTTCTAGAGTTCCCACCAGCTTTGAGCAGAGATCTCTCCAGATCCTTCTCACTGTCTTAGGTATGAATGATGCATTTTGTGGCATCCTGTAATATATTAGTCAAAGGAAAGTGCCAAGAAGTGATTTCCTTTCTTATTGTTTTTGCCTAAAACCATTTTTTTCATGAGCTGTGATTTGGGAAAAAGGTCCCACTGTATAATATATTTTGCACATGAATACCCATAGACATAATGGGTGTATGGATGATTGTGTGTGTGTGAGAGAGAGGGGGGAGAGGGAAAGAAATAGAGAGAAAGAGAGGGAGGGGAGGGAGAGAGAGAGAGAGAGAGAGAGAGACTGCAGCCACTGTTAGTCTGCCTAGATACAGCACAACTGGCTGCACAGCCCTAAGTAGACACCATGCAGAGCAGAAGAGGACAATTGATTCCAAAAGAAATCCTTCACATCTTGTTTAAGAAGAAAATGCCAAGTTTAAAAAAAACAATTTGAAGAGTTAATCTTATAATTTGTCAG